AAAACATATTGTTTTTGCTCAGTTTCCTATTCTTCTTTTCCAAATAGTGACCTCTGACCTGGCCAATGACCTGATTTGTTACCATGGTAACTGGTGTTGGGTTACATCATGTTGCAATTTTATAGTACCGGTAGGAGGGATTTGAACTCCTGTCTGACCATATATGTGAATGTGTTTGAGTAAGAATTAACAAAGCAGACAATATGCGAAGGTAAACATTATGCATTTGCTTTGCAAATGTTACTTTTCCAGTTATAGTTTACCTCAGCAGACTCTCGCAGTAGGTGGTGAGAGTCTCTGGAGTGATGGCGTGTCCACAGGACATCTTGGCGCGGGGAGTGTTGGGGTCGTCCTCCCAGCTGATCATGTCAGGAGCGTCCGTCGTCTCCACATCTTCATCCAGCTGTTTGCTACCCCCGGGCAGACGCAGGACGACAAAAAGAGTGGACTCGTTCTGCATGTTGTAGTCGGAGAGATATTTCCCCTGGCCGTACTCTAGCTGCTTGGTGGTGTACAGGACTCGCTGGGTCTCGGGGGGGATTTTGTTCTTCTCACTGATTTTCTTGATGAGTTCGTCTACTGTGGCATCCTGCAGGAAGAAACACTTATTTTTAGAGAGGGCCTGCATGGGGGGGGGGGGGGGGGCGTTTACACAAATTGCAGAAATTCTCAGAGCTGATTACGAATCAAATTAAATCTAGAATTACGTTGATTTTGGGCAGCTGCCTTCGTATTATGACAACTTAAATTCCAGGATTTAGTGATTATCGGCTATGCATACAGGGCTCATTTTTATGGTAGAATATGAATATATTATTATATCAAAGAACTACTATCAATCAATCAATCAATCAATCAATCAAGTGGTTTATTGGTAAAACAAGGAATTTGCAGCCACGGGCTGAATTACATCCTGTTGTACAATTAATTCATTTTAAAATTCATTAGTATACAGTAAAATCATCAAAGTTATTTACAATTATTAGCATTAAAACTTGCACACTGATTGATTTTTAAAATTGCTACATTACTTTGACGTACTAGTCACCTTAAAATTGTTTGCTAGGGAAGACAAAAATGTACATGACTAGAAAAGCCATTCAAAATGCCCAAAAAATTTTAACACAACCAGCCTGGAGCCATAACGTTACATCTGCTTCAAGATAATTCCCAAGGGGCAATGAATGTCCCCATTCCCGCCATAAAATTGTGTGAAAACTAAACAGTCATCTTCCTTTGCTAAATCTGTCTCCGTCTGTTTCAACATGACCCTAAGGAAATTTTACCACAGAAACATGTAACGTTAAATATCCCTTTCTTGTCCAAGCCCCTTGCCTGGTATAACTCAGGGGGCCGTGGCAAAATTTTCTTGGGGGCATGTTGGTCCTTGCCCGGGTAGACCATGGTAGGGCAGCCTGGCATCCAGGCAAGTGTAATTACCAGCTGTGGCCGCCTACGTGTAGCGAGATTTGGCGGGAAACTGAGTATTAATAATAAAGCCAGGTTTGAAGAGTCTAATCATCACTTTGTTACGGCCGATCCAGGATGTAACGTTACCTGAAAGTTTAAATTACTACGGGAAGATTTAATCAACCTAAGTACCTCTAATGAGTCGAACTCGAAATGGTAACCGTTTACCAAAAACTTCTTGGTTTCGTGGGCAAACTGTTGGTACAAAACACCCACCTCAAGCCTCAGAATAATTTTGTGACTTTCAAGTTACGATCTGAAATAAACGTCAATAATAAAGTACCTTGTGGATCCGTATGACGGTTGTTTTTCCCTCGAGTCCCCTGACAAAAAGTTGCCAGATACTTGAACCGTCCATGTCGCTGGTTATGGTATGAAACAGAAAGGAAGACTTGTGTTCGAAACTTCGAGGATCGACTTGATGACTAATGCAGTGGCTGTGATGGTGGGGGTTATCCAAGTCACATCCAATCTGGAGGTGCGCATACGGTTATACCAACGGCACGGTAAAATAGGGAGATAGAAATCGAAATGAAAGAAGATGGCTATAGAGCATGAGCATTTACTATATAACTACATTATTATTATAGTTAGCTGATAATAGAAAAATTGATAATAAACTCCAATGTTGTGATATGTATCATTGCAAATGATTCATAATCACCTCCCCTTCATAGTTGAAATGGAATGACCGACCAGCAACAGCCCACACACTTAGTATTTATGGACTTTCCCTTCAATAACTAGTTTCAGATGTTTCTCAGCCATTCCACTTTTTACAAAGGGGACATGCGTATGTTTGGAAATCTATTTCTATACAATGAACCAATATTATTTATCTCCACAATCATTTTTATGTAGGACAAGAAATATAATAATCATGTATGCATATATTTAAATAGTTACTGTATTTCATTTATGTAATAACAATATGAGCTTTGTACACCCCCCCTCGAAAGTAAAGCTGTCCACCTGGTCATCCCGCGAAAACAGAAACAACTTGGGGAACTCCATCTTTCTGAACTTCCCAGTTCGTCGTATAAACTTGTCTTTCCTGACTTGTTCCGGTACAAATTAGAAGGCAAGGCTGGGAGTCATGGAGAAGCAGTTCGCATCCAGGTTGGTTTCAGTTTGTTTTGCTGAAATGTTTGTTCATTTTTTTGTCAACAAAAGAATAACATGAACTTCATCCCGGAACTGTCAGCTGTGTAACGTTATCAGCACCTTCATTTCATATCATTACATTCTGCAGTCCTGGGCATAATAGCTTGACTGAGTGACTCCAAACAAAACTTGTAGTTCCTTTCCCAGATCTAAGTTTCATCAAGGACATTAACGTTATAGTCCATGGTTTCTTCGAAGACTTTGGTGGTTCAAAAATATGTCTTTTGTGTTTAGGGGCTTCCTTACTCAGTTACTGGCTCCCTCGCCTATGTCGGCGCTTCAAAGGCCCTTCATACGAGGGTGTGAAAAGTAGACCACTGTCCTCGCATCACACCGATTGCATTGATAGGGAAATTTTCAGATGCATAAAGATGAAACCACCGACAACATCAAAAAAGTCTGCATCATTGTAATTATCATCAAAGCTAAACAAACATGATCATACATAATTTTAGAACAACAGGAGCATGCTGTTTTGTGCATTATACCAGTCTCGTTCTAAACAGAACGCCAGTGAAATAATTCCAATATTACTTTAACGTTAACTTTAGTACTTTTTGTTTTGTATTGGGTTCTGTTGAAATAGACTTGCAGCAGAACTCAGTCATTTAAGGCGTAAAAATCATTACTAAAAAAAAGTAATAAGTACATGCAAGGAGGTTAATTACATACTTGTATTTAACCTCCTTGGTACATGGGGTAGAAGTTGTATTTTTTCATTGTCCTATGAGAAATTTTTTACAGCACACTGGTTCATCATGTATCGGATAGCCCAACCATGGAGGTAGAGTCTCCTTTTCTACCTCCATGGCCCAACCAGATAGATACCAGACAGGTAAATCCTGGTGATTGGTTGAGTTAAAATCAAATTAATGTCTCAGTTCTGAAGAAAATCCTCATCAAAAATGACCGTTCTTGCTTTATACATGTAACGTTACAGGGTACAGAAGGAGCTAGCCGCCCTGAGGAAGTCCCCTCCTCTCGGTATCCAGGTGTCGCTGCCTTCAGACAACCTGCATGAGTGGGAGGCTGTCATCCCTGGACCTCAGGATTCTCTTTATAAAGGTCTCATCTACGTGGTTATAGCCCACCCGTAGGGACGGGGGCTGTATTTACCTGTTTAGAGTGACAGATCAAGCGATAACTTGACCTGTCACTCTAATCGTGCTGTTTTTTTATAGGACACGCAAAATAGATAAATGTGGGGTGTTGGAACAGAGACATGAAAAGTGTTGACTATGGTTTCACATTACAGTTACATTTTGAATCTTGCCTAAATAAAGTACTGATTATGATTATCACATAGGAGACTGAAAGTCAAAAATATAACCTTCAACATTAACCCCAGGTGTTCTTCTTCACCACAGGTGGCAAGTTCAAGGTCCGCCTGCTTCTCCCGTATCCTTTTTGTGTCTGTGCCAAGGATGACACTAACCAGCACAGAAGTATCATTGCTCTCATACACTGATCAAATGTTAGATCATCAGCAGTTGACGTACTCCATTCCTGCCATTGCCAGTCCTTCCTCACGATTTCAGGAAAACGTGGCGGACATGGTCTAACAAAAAAAAAACATGTATGGACAAAAAACAAGTACGCTGGATTGTGACCCTCGCTTCATCTAATGCAGTGTCAAGTTAGTGATACAGCATTGTGTACTTAAAACTTACCATTGTACACAATGTACACTGTAAAGATTTCTTTACAGCATATTGCAATACATAACGATCTTCTATGTGTATCTGCTTGCCTTCCTTGACTTACATGTACTGTCCAGTGAGAACTATCCCCTTGCACCTCCAGTTGTAAGTATTACCAACCATTTTGAATTATTCTAAATCATCAACCAAGACAAAGGCAACATTTTTGGTTTTAGTGAATTATGCGAAATTTTTGTTGAGTGAATTCTGTAATCCATTACACCAAATTACAACATTTTCAAATACAAAAAAAGGATACGGTAACTCAACATGAAGATTTACACCACACATACACCCTTTTGAAGGTATTGAATATCAAACTATAAAGAATCATACTTCCAGCTCAGGCCAGCTCTTGATTCCTTCCGGCTGGTAATTTCAATTAAATGTTAGCTACAATGTATCCTACTGGTGATATCACAGTGAACATGGCAGTCGAAAATATTATTTTGATGAGCAAACAGTGCATAATTATCATGATTACATACAAGTACAATACTTGCAATATTGCAAGTATTTCTTGCAGATGATCATGATAAGAAAAGTGTTGTATTTTGGTGTTATAACAGTTATAGGCACTTTATGGAGAATTTGGTCACCAGGGCTTCCCTTTTCTTCTTGTTCATACCTTAGGTCCACTTCCTAACACCCATCTACCACCTGAACGTGAGTCAGGCGTGTGGACAGGTGTGTCTCCGCTTCCTGAGTGAGGATGAGTGGGTGGCAGGGGGAACCATTGAACAGGTTAGTAACCACACTGCTATTGATGGTTTAACACATTAACCAAGTTAAACTGTCTTGTACTCAATGGTTATTCTCTATAGAATGTAGAATACAATTTCTGTGTGTGTGTGTTTCAAAAATTCTACACCCTCTGTGCTCTGTGGGACTGGAAAGGTCACAAGATAGTCTACTCCCAACACTCCAACAATAGCATGGGTAAGGGGTGAAGTTTCCCATCTCTGATTGCCTTCCTCGGATAGGATGTTAAGTGGAGGTGTTGTGTTTGTAGGACAGCCGCACTCTTCGCATGTGAAAGGTAGCACCACACCTTTTGAAACAGAGTGGGGCATGCCTACATGTAGGTGTGCAATGATCCATATTCTATAGTCCAGAGTTGGTGATTCACTACAAATCACCCAGACGGAGGCCTGGCGAACCCCCGTTTTATATTAGCCTTTGTATCACCCCTGATAAATTAATACTAGCACAGTGATAGTTGAGTATAGCCTGGGTTCCATGCTCTGTAGTTTCCACCAGCTCCCTACCATTGCTACCACGTGATAGCCGGCAACATAGGGAGCTGGCGCAAACTACAGAGGATGGAACCCAGGCTAAGTTGGGCAGCCTTGGCTGTGTCTTCAGCTAATGCATAATTTTGACTCAAAAGTAGGACTATTTTCATGCCCAAGAGTTGACTTAAAACTGTGTTCCTCCCAGGTGCTGAGTGCCCTGTTCTCTCTCATGATCCGACCAGAACTCAACAACGCCTTCGACCACGAAGTTCTGAACGTCTACCACCACTTTAACCTGGACTACAACAAGATGGCTCGCGACAGTGCTAAAAAGGCTAAATAAGAAGGAAGCAGATATTAGTCTGAAGAGTATTTTGTTTGTTAAAAATCCAATACTTCCTACTTTTGTTTTCACACCAATTTACGATTTTATGGATCCATATGGTATGTTTTCCTTTCAAGTTTCAATGCATATTTGAAGGGACCATGATATTATAATTGAAAACTAGGTAGCTCTGATAACAATAAGGCTGCAGAGCAAAGGCAGTTCAGATAATAGTTATATCAGTAAATGAGTCAGTCATGTTTCTGCTTGACAGCATTGTGCATGATACTAGGTTTTCTGTATAGACCTCTGTGAATGTGGTTATTACAAAGGAGGTTATGTTTTTGGTACCATTGATTGGTTTTCGATCATGATTACTACATAGTGATGATTGTAGAAGTTCTTTATATGTGTGTATGTTTTGGCAATAGAAAGATGTTAAGCCACTTTTTTCAATCATCAGTGCACAGGTACTAGGTAAATTAGGTCACCCGAGCAATCTTGAGTAAAATGTCACATTTTTATAATGTTAATCTTGTAATGTTTGTGTTTGTGGTCTTACTTTCAGTCTTCACAATGAGCTGTCCACAATTCATGACACAGCAAACATGCAATCCCAATGTTTTACTACACTGTACTACAGAATTGTTTAAACTGTGAACTTAAAATACAGTGAAAACCTTGCTCTTTGAAAAGCAAAGTCCCCAGGAAAATTAATACATTTATTTGTGTCTGACCTTTCTTTCCTTAAAAAGACACTTGTCTTAGCCACTTGAGAAGTGACAGATTAACACAGCTGAAATAACTTAAAGAAACACACAACTTCAGGTAGTCTTGATCTTTTTGTCTTTAATTTCAGCAAGGAAAGGGACATGCATAAGAAATACATAATCAGCATCTTATTGTACTGTTAGGAATCCCCAATGGTGATTGCAGTTACAGCAGGAGTTATGAAATGTGTTGACACAAAATTATCAAATGTAACTTTATGTAAAGAAGACTACATAGAACAAAATTAGCAAAATTGTTTAGTTTGGTGACATCCACTACAAGCCCTGGGGGAATATGATATTCCTGTGATATTCCTGTGAGCATTTTCTTAACATGCAGCTAGAAGAGCAACACCATTCAAAAATACATGTATGTAGTTTCATCAGGTTGATAAAGCATAGGATATAGGGATTTTCTTTTACACATGGACAACCAGTATTGTCTCTTACCTTGCTTACATTTCGCTGTCTATCAGACACCTTCCTCATAGCTTCTGACTGGAGTTCTGCTTCTCTTCTTCCGTAATGTCCGACTGCTGTTACTCCAGCAATTCTCGACGCTATATGTAGTCACATTTGGGATAATTATGTTCTCATGACAAAAGTGCCACTTACACTGGCTACATATACTGTAGCATCGAGAAGCAGAACTCCAGTCAGAAGCTCTGATTCTGAGGAAGGTGTCTGCTAGACACTGAAACGTAAGCAAGACTGGTTACGTAAAAGAGAATCCCTACATCCAGTGCATCACCATTCTTAGAACCCATGCACAACTGGCCAAGAAAAAAATGAGCAACATTTTGCCATGTCTTTATCAATATCACAGGATACATGTATTGAATTACTTTTATATTATTGGAAATAATGACGTACCTTTTTAATTTTTAAATTCTGTTCAAAATGCAATGGTCCTTTAATTCTTTTACAATGATTGATGGATAATACAAAATTTGGAAGATGACAAAACACATAAGGACAAACAATTGTAGGAAAATGCCACACCCTCTGCAATAAAATCCAGTGTATCTTACAAGACCTAAATTACAACTAACGTGTGCATTGTTCTCATGACAGCTTACATGTGTATCACACAAGATGCCGAAACTTTTGCAGTTTTATTTTTACCTCCAAGGAAGGAGGTTCTGTTTTCAGTAATGTTTGTGTTGAACTTCACAGTTGTAGCCCATGGGTTCGACATTTGGTATAGTGGTCCAGATGATGCATATTGATAGTTGGTTAAGTTCCATTTTATCTGTATTTTCAGCTGTTAAAAAGATAATTGGACAATCCTGTGCAGCCCATGGTGCATGCACATAATCCCCCCCCCCCCACACACACGCTCAAAGGTCCACTTTTTATCTAATGGTCCAAGATTTGAGGTGGACTGATTTGTATCACCAGCGAGACTAGAATCCTATTTGTCTCATTTTTCCTTTGAAATCCTCTCAAAAATGCAGGAAATGCCATTTCAGAAGGTTCAATTTTCAGAATTTTCTGGGGGAGCATGCCCCGGACTCCCCCTTGGAAGCTCGCCCCTTTGGTCCCTCAGACAGTAGGAAGAACCCTAGCTTTCCATAGTATGCAGGCACGCAAAGGGATCACTGACCTGTTTGTTACACAACTGCTGTTGTCTGAATAAGTCCTCAAAAACTACTTAAAGAAGGGTCATCACACTTTCACACTCATATTGAACCCGCTATAGTTTTAAAGCTGATCCTTTGCCATGATCTCGGTACCTGTAGATGCCCCTGGTGTAGATGCCCCTGGTGTAGATGCCCATGGTGTCCCTACCCCCAGTGTTGCTGCCCCTGGTGTCCCTACCCCCAGTCTCCCTGCCCTGGTGTCCCTGCTCCCAGGCCCAGTCTCCCTGCCCCGGTGTCCCTACCCCCATTCTCCCTGCCCCCGGAGTAGATGCCCCTGGTGTATGACCTCAAAAACTACTTAAAGAAGGCTCATATCAAACCGCTAACTTTTAAGCTGGTTCTCTGCCATGATCGCATTGCATGGTGACAGCTGCTCCACTACAGCTTCTGAACATTTGAAACAGAGAGTATAGCTGCTGTTGATGCAAAGAGAAGGGCCAGAAAAGCCCCCCAAAAAGGACTGGCTGACTACTAGTAGAATTGCCATACTCTGCAGAGTGGCTGTCAACACACTGTTGCTGCTAATGTGGTGTCTGAAATTGTCACGTCGTTGTAATCACCACGTGTCATATTGCTGTCTAGAGGTTTGAAATCTCAGATTTCTTGTTTCCTTACTAAGGCATGCTGAGCTGATTTGAATGTGATTCTACTACTAAGGCCACATTGACTTAATTTTATGGCTGGCATCCTCTGAAGACCCCCAAATTAGTGTGTGCAGGCGAAGGAAAAAAAAATTCTGGCCCAAAATAAAAATGCTGATAAACCACAGGAATACAAAGCTGGTATTGTGAATTTGTGGTGGTACGTAGCGACTTTTACAACAAGCCGGCACATGCTGGGCTTTTCCAGAATTTATGAATCGGCACTGTAGGTATGTACAGAGTGCTTGAGTCCTGGAGCTTCAGTAGCCTGCCCGGTGCCGTCCTCCGTAGTTAGTACTGCCAGATCCCTATTGTCGCTAGCTACCATGGACTACGGATGATAACATCCAGGCCAGAGCCTCTATCCAGGCCAGAGCCTCTATCTTCTATAAAATTAAATCAATGTGGCCTAAGGAAAACACATATTTGTGCTGAAAGAATATCAACATTAGGCATTCAGGGGAGAGAGAGTTTTTGGCATAGTACATGGCCATCTATATCTATTGTCTTACTATGGAGTCAAACTAAGACTACCGGTATCTCTTTGGCCCCTCTCAGTTGTCCCCAGGGATGGTTGTCTGCACGGCGGTGATCTCACATGGGCTGTTGTACGTGCCACACTGGTAGCGCCCATCCACTGCTGGTTTGAGGCAGATGAAGCAGAACTTCTGGCCACATCTACAGACCTACATATACATGATATAGATGTAAAGAGGATGTCAAACAGGTTTGACAGGTTATCAGAAGGTGATGGTAAGTATGTACATTTGTACAGGAGTTTGCAAAGGTCAACTAAGGTTAATGTCAGACATTATGCTTACAGACTGAAACTGGTCATTATACTTTGAAAAATTCATGCATTAGATGCAAACTATTTGTCTTGAGTGCATCAAGGAAGTAATTGAATACCAGTAGTTACAGTAGTATATTCTGCTCGTCAATGGCTCAATCTGTGTCTTATCTTCTCCAATTATTTTTCTTTGACTTCTCAACCAAATGACATCAAGTGTGTATGTTGCAGTCTTTACTTAGTAAACATTCTGAAGTCAATTGCTTGCAAATGTTTTTTCTATGTACAGTGTAGTTATGAACTTCTGGTTGACATTCAGAGATGGGAACGTGCCACTTACAAAATTTGTTATAATGATGTAAGCAATGATCTACATGCATGAAGCTAGTCTTCTAACTCCATGCTACATGTAAGTGCTTAAGGAGTATGAATAGAAGTATTTACCATATGCTTGCAGGCCCTGTCATGTTCGATGAGCATGCCACACGTCAGGCAGGCCCTAACAGAAGGACAGCCAACCACGCCCACGATGGTCTTCTTTGTGCAGTCACGGAGGATCTTAAGACGCTTGTCTTCACCGTTGCAGTCTTCATTGCCGCACTTGTCGGTGTCTCTCCCAATCCACTCGTGCAGACAGTACCAGCAGAAGTGAAACTCCTTCTTCTCCCTACCCGAACACAGCGGACACACCACAAGCTTGTCTTTCTTGTCGATGCGCTCGCACAAGGAGTGACACTTGGGGCACTCCTGGATGCCCATCCCCTTGCGCAGGTAGTTGTCGGAGATCTTGATCTCGAACTGCTTCTGTTCGTCCAGGGTGAGGACGGCAAGGCGCCGGACCTCCAGATAGGACCACTCCTTCCCACAGTAGTAATCTCTAGCTGGACTGATGTAGGGACACTTGAACACGTACTTCCCAGCACTGAAACATGGGTATTATAAAGAAAGAGTCTTTCACTGAGTTGACCTGTTGGGAGGAAAGGCTGTAATGTTTTCCCTCAGCCCATTTTCACTGCATTCAGAGACCTCGTACCTACGTGAAAATATTAAGAGCCTTTGTATGATATGGGGTGGCATGGATTGTTGATCTCAAAGCAGATACTGGGTGGCATCAAAAACATACAAAGCATCAAATGGGAGTTTTGAGAATATTTCACTGTAACTTGAAAAGCACTTAGGCCACACCGACTTAATTTTATGGATGACATCCGCGCGCGCATTGATTTTCGCCTGTCGCCCTCAAAAAAAAAAGAAAAAAAGATCACCTCCACCGAGGCTCTGGCCTGGCTCTAGGCCTGGGTAGTCCATGGTAGTCAGCGACAAAACGGAGCCGAGCACCCAGGCTACCGATTCAAGCTCCACGACTCAAGAACTCAGTACATTGCTAATTCATAAATTCCGCAGAAAGCCAGCATGTGCCTGCTTGTCGTATACGTCGCTAAGTACTGTCGCGAATTCACAATAACAGCTTTGTATTCCTATGGTTTAGTAGCATTTTTATTTTTGGCCGGAATTTTGTTTTATTCGCCCGCGCGCACTAGTTTGGGGGTCTTCAGAGGATGTCATCCATAAAATTAAATCGGTGTGGCCTTAGTGGGGTTTAGAACACTTTTACCATTGATAAAGCACTGTATGGGAGGTTTGAGAACACTCTTGCTAGAAAGCACTGTATGGGGGGTTGAGCAATACATTGGGTTATAAGAATATTTGTTACTTTAACAAGAGCTGGTTGGTTTCAGAACACTGAAAAGCACTTTATATCATACCCAGGCCGTAATGCCGGTATCCTTTGATAATGGTGCTCCGGACTGAGCCGTACTTTACGTTATGTCATATGTGGGCCGCGATTACGTTCGATACGGGTGTTCCAGACTGGGCCAATATCGTAAAGTATGCTTCCAAAGGTTCCATAGAATGATTCGAACGTGTTTTGCCCTAACAGCAATGCACCGCTTTCGAAAATTCGAATACAAAATTCCAACGTTGTTGCTTTTTTGGGTTTAGGGACACCAAATTTTCGCTCATTTTGCATTGAAAGGCGTGCTTTCTTTGGCTTCAATTTCCTAATTAATCTGCAAATCAAGTCCTCATTTACATAATTACTAAGGGGACTTATCAAGGCCTACTGTACTAACATACCAAATACATTGTATCATCACCAAGCCTGGCCTTCTTTATGTTATGCTGACCACAAGTATACAGAAACTTGCTGATTGGAAATAACTTTGTGGCTGCTCTGACAGGCCTAATATTACAATAAGCATTTAAAACATACTAGTTGATTGTAAGTGACACTAGTTTACCTCAGCAGACTTTTGCAGTATGTGGTGAGAGTCTCTGGCGTGATGGCGTGTCCACAGGACATCTTGGCGCGGGGAGTGTTGGGGTCGTCCTCCCAGCTGATCATGTCAGGAGCGTCCGTTGTCTCCACGTCTTCATCCAGCTGTTTTCGATTCTGCGGAGGTGGTGAGGACAAGGTGTTGTTGCCACCAGTGTTGCTATCTGTGCTGTTGTTATCATCAGTGTCATCGCTTTTAGACACTGATGATGATACAATCCCCGCGCTTTCAGTGTCATCGTCTCCGTGGTTGTTATCATCAGTGTCATCGTCTCCGGGCGCCCCAAAAAGATCAGTGTCATCGTCTCCGGGCACCCCAAAAAGATCAGTGTCATCGTCTCCGGGCGCCCCAAAAAGATCAGTGTCATTGTCTTCGGTGTTGCTATCTTCAGTGTCATCGTCTCCGGACATGCAGGGAAGATCATGAGTGTCATCGTCTCCGGTGTTGCTATCTTCAGTGTTGCCTCTGGTGTTGTTACCTCCAATGTTGTTTGCCCCGGTGTTGGTGTTTCCTATGTCGGGGTATCTAGAGGCGATGCCTGACATACCACTGTTGGTGTTGCCGCCTCCAGGCAAACGCAAGACTACAAAAAGATTAGACTCATTTTGCAGGTGGTAGTCAGATAGATATTTTCCCTGGCCATATTGCAGCTGCTTGCTTGCGTACAGGATGCGCTGGGTCTTAGGAGGGATCTTGTTCATCTTACTGATCTTATTTATCAGTTCATCTACTGTAGCATCCTGTAATACAGTTGTGTACGTGTCAGGACCCACCGTCTTGACAAAATGACTATCTATGAGTTCCATGCCCTTCTAGAATGATGCTAACCTTTATGACTGACAACTTATGAATGTGTCTCATTGATTTTGCAAATAAGATTCTCATTAGCCTATGAAACCCAAGCTCCGGGGGCTCCCTACATAGTCCGCCATCCAAGGACTACTAGGGAGCCGGCGAAAAGCGAGGTTCAGTCAGGCTAAGATTCTTATTAACATGAATTACATCAGTCATTGTCAGTTGATCACATTCTTCACCCAATGACAGAAGGCTATTCTAGCATTTCCTCATAAGTTATACAACGAGTTCCTGATTTGTACATGTATGTGTCATGTTTAATGATGCACCTTCCACATGTAACTTCCACATGCTGCAAGTATGAAATTCCTGGCAGTTGCCACTATGGAATTATTGTCATTGTCATTATAGAATTTTCTCATTAATTAGGTCTTAAATTTGGTCTTAATGAATATCTACTCTCCTGTCACATTGTCAATTCATATGTCAAGTTTGAGAAGTCCTATCATAAGCAGATTTATAGAATTTCTCATTAATTATACGAATTAGATCCTGATTTTCATGTCATCTTATCATGCCGCTTAAGCTACCTACAACCCATGACTATCTGACCAACAGTTAATGTTCCTTTCAAATATTTTTAAATATGCCCCTGTAGTTCCAGTGCTTGGTTTTTTTTTGACCGGACCATCCAAAAATCATGACCCAAGCATATCCAGATCATATCAAAAGTTCCACTGCAGTACCATTAACAAATCCGCTCCAAATCATTTTGAGGTCTCATCAAGACCTATACCCTCCTACCTACCAAATATCAAGTCCATTCCGCACAAAGAGTCTGAGCCATAAAAACAGAGACAATATAGATATAGTACTTAATCAATATTTACTGCAACATAAACATGGATGGAAACATGGCATAAACTTTTTCTAGTCAGTTATTATATGTACAACTACCAAAAACAACAATACAACAACGTTATGAAATGACAGTTGCCTTATACAGTAACTCCATCTAAAAAAGTGACTGAAGCAGTTAAGGTCCAGTGGGGCTGGGATGAGGACTTGCTCCCAGGCGCAGAGTTAGGAACAGGGCAGACTTGTTTTGAACAGAGTAGTCAGACAGGTGTCTCCCCTGGTACAGTCTCTGACCCTTGTGCATGATGTGACGTATCTGTACAGTAGGGATACCGGTCTTCTCACTGATCTTCTCCATCAGTTCATCCACAGTGGCATCCTGCAAGATGAGACCCAAAATCACCAAAAATCTCATATACAAAGAATCCAATACTAGTACACAATACAATGTTTTCATCCCAAAATATATCCCACATATCAATTGCAAATACTCCCCAAGCTGCAGAAGATAGAGAGCAACATTCATGGTGACTTGATGCATGATTTAGAGTGATCATGAGCATTATGATGTGATACATACCTTGTGGATGGTTATATAATCCCTGCGCCCACTAAGCTGTAGAACTGAAAGTTGCCAGATGTCACTGTCCACCTCAGAACTACCTGCAGCGTTGACATCCTGCTGCTCTCCCTGTGGCCTGTGCAAACCCCAAATGACGACCTCAATGGTAGACTTGTCTTGAATACCATAGTCAGACAAACGTTTCCCCTTGCCATACTCCAAACGTTTCCTCTCGAATATGAAACGCATACACTCAAGGGGAGCACCGTTAGTCTCACTGATCTTATCCATCAATCTGTCCAACGTAGCATCCTGCAAGAAGAGATACATGAGTGCCGCATAAGACATAGTCATGACATAACATGATGGGAAAATGTTGACCATCCATAGAACAGTTACTGTTGTCAGGTTACGGGTGACCATAAAGCAAGTAGCAACATTTCTTACATAATGCTCTTTTTACATTATTCTCTATCCAGGCGCCATCACAGACATATCACAATATCAGAATACTTTCAGTCAATTTACATAAAAGTAATAAATATGTAACAGTGTGGTTCAAGCCCAGGTTTGATTCCCGGGAGCCAGGGTTTTCGTGTTTCTACTTGCCTTTAAAATGTTTCAAATACCTTGTGGACCCTGATGTAAGATATACACCCAAACTTTTGTTTCAACTACACATTAATGTACCTTGTGGATCCTGATATGGTATATTCGTCCAGTGTTGTCCTTAACGGAAAGTTGCCAGTAGTTTCTGCCCTCTTCCGTATCAGAAGCACCAGTAGTCTTGTCATCTTCCTCTTCCTGCTCTCCTTGAGGGGTGGATGAGTTGTGGTCGACTGAAGAAGCCCCTCTCACAAACAGTACAACAAACATGGTGGACCTGTCTGTAATACCGTAGTCAGACAGATGTTTGCCCTGGCCGTAGTCCAGTCGCTTGGTCGTGTAGACGATGGACTGTGATTCGATGGGTATCTTGTTCCTCTCACTGATCATCCTGATCAGTTTGTCCACTGGGGCATCCTGCAAAAATAGATGCCTTATGTGAATCATAGAGGACCATGATAGCCTCCCAACATCAAGACCTTAATGTGCCCAAATACAGTGTAATGAACTGTCATGGCTTTTTGGAAAAAAGTAATTTGATGGCTTTGCCTGTTTTTTTTACCATCATTTAAATTTTAAAGACCAGATGACACCAATAACACTCAAATTATTCGATGAACGAAGACGTTTGGACAAAAAGTACTTTTCTGATGTTAGCGAACATCGAATCTTGCAAATTATCCTTCCAGCTCTTGATTTTTTGTTGTTAACTTATAATATTCATCACCACACCAATCAAGTCACCATTCTGATCTTTACCTTTGACACAGGAATTACGATTATAAAGATTAAAATTACCATACATGCCTTTTTTCACTAGTTATGCTCCTAAATTTCTGATTTTAATGACTTCAACAAACAGTACTAATGTGCATTCCTTTTTTCAGCTGTAGCCCAGAATCAAATACTCTCCAATATCTTTCTCACAGGCTATTCCTGTAAGAGTTGGAATCGCAGGTACTGAATTGGATGCCAAGATGTACAATATAGTGGTATGGTGTACAGTAACATTTACGAGACTGAATATTACCCCTACATCAGCTGTCTATCATAGTCAATGTACACATTTAATGTAGTAGATACCTTGTGGATCTTTATAGAGTGAGTAATTCTGTCGTTTAGCTTGGCATAAAGTTGCCAAATGTTGCTGCTCTCTTCTGTACCAGAATCATCAGTCATCTCCTCATCTTCCATCTGGTCTTCCTGTGGCTTGGAGCAGATCTGACAAGGCCCTCCTATACGTACAATGTAATGCAGGGTGAACATGTCCTGTATGCCGTAGTCAGACAGATGCTTGTTCTGGCCATACTCCAGCTGTCTGGTTGTGTACAGGACACGCAGGCGCTCTATAGGGATGCCTTTCCTCTTACTGATCTGGCTGATCACCTCATCCACTGTGGCATCCTGCAAGAGAATACATATGAGTATATATGCTTTATATGGCCCCCTATCATAGTTAGGAATCTTTCCATCTCAAAAAAAGATGACAGTGTTGTGTCCTATCTTTGCATGTCATTCCAGGCAAACATTTGGGACAAAAACACATACATGTATCATCTTCCCATTGCATTGATTCTCATCTGATTTTGAGAAATAAGAAAGAACTATTGTTCTCCTTCATGAGAGTAGTAGAAGCGATACTACTTTGGAAGCCTTGACTCCAGTTTTTGTGATTAATGGTGCAGAAAGAAAAGACTTTGTCGTGATTAAGGGTGGGTACCTGTATAGATAAATTCAGGTCCAGATCAGGTTCAGAGGATCAGGTCCAGGTCTGGACCTAAACCTGGACCTGATCATTGTATTATTTTCTTCACCTGCCATGACCAGATTATCTAAATACGTATGTACAATCTACAGAAATGTACATCAGGTCTGATGATCCGGTTTTTGCATTTCGTTTTTTTTGGACTCGATTCCCGAATGTTGTTCCGGTCAAAACCAGTCCTGCTGAACCGGTACCTACCTCTAGTTGTGATATCATGTTGGTTGCTTGAATTCTCTATTTTCAACTATTTTGAAGTATCTTGTTTTTCACCCATCTTGGTTTTTTTTTCACATTAATACATAGATTTGGAGTCTACGGAGGATGCCATTGTCATCCATAAAATGTACCTACTGTGGCCAAACCCATTTACCATCTACAGTGTACTATGCTGTGATAAAGACAAATGTACCTTGTGGATCCTTATGAAAATTGTGCTTCCGTCTGGTCCCTTGACTGGAAGTTGCCAAATGTCACTTTCCTCCTCCTCATCAGAGTCATCTCTGCTCTGGTCACTCTGGTTATCACTCTGATAACCACTCTGGTTATCACTCTGGTTATCACTCTGATTATCGATATCATCCTGATAATCACTCTGATAATCTTCCTGATAACTAGTATAACTCTGATTGTAACTTTGTACACTGAAGTTGCTGAGAGACTGGTTGTCGGAATGGTCATCTCTCGTTAGGTCAACGTTAATGTCAGCTCTAAGTCGTGTGATCTGTGACTCAATTCCATTGATTCTTTGCTCCAGCTCTTGGGACAATGATTTCACGCCCCCTATCTCCCTATGTGAGTACTGCAGGCTTCCCCTGACTGCCTGAACTTTGCGGGCAAGGGTATCGATTCTCCTGTTGGTTGTCTCCAAGAGACTGGTGAACTCTCTCTTCTGGTTGTCCAGGAGTTCTCGTAATGTCGACATGGTGACGAAATATTGCTCCCTGCTACTCCTCCGCGCCATGCTTGGTTGGACAAAGTTACGAAAGCTCCTTGGTTTGACGTGGTCTGGTTTTAGTTAGCAGTAGCGCGCTTGGGGAGGGGAGGGGGGCGACGCTGCAACGAGAGGAGTTTTCACGTTAAAAATGCATCAGATTCGACACCACAGCTCACAAATAGGAGATAGAAACTGAAGAAATACAACCTAATACATTGACAGTGGTACCAAATACCGACATGCGACCACAGTGAAATCTTCGACCTCGTCCACACATGAATTTTTTGAAACTTTGACAGGGACACTTACAACACAAATAACACACGATAGGGGAACAATGTGGATTTTTGACGCCCAGATAGGTATACAGTACCTTACCCGTTACTCTTGATGTCGATATGATGCCGATTCCACGAGTTGAATAGGAAAAAACGACCAAATCTTGGAGAAGAGACACAGAAGTTTTGGCGCTATTCCGCCATTTTGAATCGTGACGTCACCAGCATACTACATAATAATGTAAACGCTGGGCGTAACACGTTTTTACCTTGTTTTAAACTTGACACAAGTCACCGAAGTAAAGTGAAATATTGTTATATACAGATCAGTTAATTTTGTATGTTGATGAGGACATGCTATAATCACTTTGTGTTTATTGGTGACGATAATATATGATAATGTAGTCATGACGTTGTAACTGTGTAACTCTCCTTGGTGCTGAACAACCATCTCTAGTACTAGTGGCGGTCTAAACGTCCCAAACGTGAGCTATATTGGAGGGCACGGTGTTACGTTAGTTTGTCTACACAGATAGATAGTATGTGTGAATTTGATTGGTGAAACGACATAGCAACGTCAGTTTGGAGACAAAATGAGTAAATTTCCTCCAATTGTTTCAGTGTGGTCAAACCTTCTCTCCACATATAAGTTCATTCATTCATTTGGTGCAACAATTTTCAGCCCAAAACTGGAAGAGAACAGGAAGGGAACAGACACGATGGAACTACCCGTTAATTCTCGAATTTCTTACCACACACATTGGCACACATTTTACTTCTATCCCTGTTGCCGGCTTGCAGTAGAATGTTTTCTATTGATTATTTCACCATCTGATGTTGAACACGTGCGGACTATCGGTTATCTCTTGCCTTTGTGTCGTCTTTGTTCCTTCGTCTGAATGCCCAACACTCAAAATGTCACAGCTTGAATCCCCAGGAACCATCAATCATATTTCAAGTCATGGTCGGTTACTAGTAGTATATAGTGTCCTAGCCTGGTATCCAGGCTTACGTGATTGGGGGTATTGGGGTGTTCAGGCAGGCTGTGTCTTCGGGGGCTCTAATAGCTTCCCCCGCCCAGTGCAACAAGCCGTCCCTGTAGGAGAGTTACGCTAATAAGAGACAGTATGCTTGGGGATTTGGTTTCCCCCCAACATGTTCGTGGAGGTCTAACCAATCTCTCGTGAAATACACACCGGGAAACCTATGTGAGGTGGGTGGGACAGAGCTCTTGCGGCCCCGACCACGATCAGACTGGATACCAGGCTAATAGTGCCCATGAAATCGAACACAACACATGGTGCCTGCTGGCGTAGTAAGAAAGGGTTTTTGCGCTGAATCAAGAAAAATCTTTTCACTGAATCCAGGAAGTCTTGACTCCGAATCAACTAAATCTTTTCACTGAATCAAGCAAGTCTTGGCTCTGAATCAACTAAATCTTTTCACTGATTCAAGCAAGTCTTGGCTCTGAATCAACTAAATCTTTTCACTGAATCAAGCAAGTCTTGGCTCTGAATCAACTAAATCTTTTCACTGATTCAAGCAAGTCTTGGCTCTGAATCAACTAAATCTTTTCACTGATTCAAGCAAGCCTTGGTGCTGAATCAAAGAAATCTTTTTACTGAATCAAGCAAGCCTTGGTGCTGAATCAAAGAAATCTTTTTACTGAATCAAGGGAGTCCTGGCACTAAGACTGGAATGTTTTCTTTATTGATGTCATACAATTTAATACATGATCATAAGCAACTTACAATGCCGCACAGTGGCAATAAGATCACTAAATACAATCCTCACTAAATACAATCCTCGGAGACGTATCTGAATAAAAAATGGATAGAAAATAACATACATAAGATGGAAAGCCAACATGAAATATGTTGTTCATGATATTTTATAACATGGCAACATCTTCGCGACAAAATCTACATTTACATCACTGTTCTCCCACCACTAGTATTCTCATACAAATATACAAATCGTGTACTAGTGTACAATCATTCTCATACAAATATACAACCTGTGTGCTGTACAATGCCAAATATACATAGTCGCCTTGAAAGATAGGACTCTTATATAAAAAGATGCGTAAATATTGTCTCAACATCTCAGCTCCGTCGTACTACATTAAAAGGTTCTGTGGATAGAAATAGCCAGTTAATTTCAAGTAACGCGTGCCGTTTAAATAATACAAGTTCTGCTATGCAGGACCTTTTACTATTTCCGTTTGTGTAAAATACATATTGCTATGTTCCCTTGCATGAAATCCTTCCTATTCTAGCTCCATCTGACTCCAAGACTTTATTTTCACTTTTTACGTTTTCTAGCTGCTGGAGTTATGTTCCCCCTGTACAAGTTCATGATTCCTGCTTTGTCTAGTTTATCCCATATTTCTATTTCCATCTGGAAATCATGATTGGCGTAAAACACGACTTTGTGCCAGTCTGTCTCGTAGTAGTGATCGTTGTACTTTGTGTGGTCGGCGGTGATGAAGCCATAGACGTCCGTAACGTCACAGACATGCAGGGCGGTCAGTAGCATGGAGCCGCCGGTAGTGGGACGGTAGATGTTGCTTCCTCGTCTCCGTGGAGAGTCCAACCAACTGAATATTAACACAACACAAATACGTTATAACTATGTTTTCATATTACGAAAAGGTTTTTATGCATACCTCCGTGGTCATTCATACCAGAAAAATGAATTTTTTTCTGACCGGTTGCTTCCGTGGTTCGTTCGAGCATGGAGGTAGAAAAAAGAGTCTTTTTTCTACCTCCATGGTTCGAGTGAGCCAATAAATTCTGAAAGACGCGGCAAATTTAGGAGCACGTGTAGATCTGCATTATGATTGGTTAGGGCGGATCAAGCTTACACTGTGATTGGCTAAGACAGGTCGTGCCCCGCCCGTGTTCACCATGTGATACTGATAGAAATCCACTTGTACATCACTGTTGCGCAACATCAATTCATGACCCCATAGGTATCTACATAAAAATCCATAAATCAAAGTCACAAGTCAAAGTAAGATCATTCCAAATGATCCACATTACACGAATTTCACCAGGAAGGGAGGGTATTTGTTTGTTCGTTTATCATGAAGTAAATAAATCCACACTTACTGGTACTTGAGATATCTCATGAAGTCAGGGTGGAGCATCCGGAACTTCGTATTCGCAGGTTTTTCACCGTACTGAGACGGGGGCCTAGAAAACCAAACATAAACTTATCATAAAATAAGAAATAATTCTATTATGGAATTTACTACTAGTATATTTCATGAAGTTGCTGGGGTTTTATTGGACAAAAACAAAACACATACGCCTTGCTTTTGTCTCGTCCTGACTCCACTGGCTTCCAACTCATGGCGGCGTCAAAGTACACGTAGTCTCTTATACCCGAGGAAATGGTGGTATATATCGTGTCCTGAAATAGGGAATAAACGTTAGAAATATATCATTAGATTTTTAATGTTACTTACGTTCACCACTCACTTTTGTGACATGTTTTAGATAAAGAATATGATTACGTCAGTGGAATGAACACACGTTACAAGCACGTTAAAAAACAAACCCAACAAAACTAGTACCACGTATGTTGTAGAATGTAGCATAACGTTAGACGTATATACATATGCAGTCTCATATCATTGTAGTTGCTTTTTTCATACATGTACTTGCAATTAGCACTCGGACATATTTTTGCAATAAGCTTTACGTTAATAAGGCCACACCGATTTAATTTTATGGATGACATCCGCGCGCGCATTGATTTTCGCCTGTTCTAAAAAAAAAAAAAGATCACGTCTTCCGAGGCGTCTGGCAGTCCATGGTGATTAGCGACAACGGAGCCTATGGTAACTCTGGAGGACGGCACCCAGGCTACTGATACTCCACGACATACGTACAGTGTCGATTCATAAATTCCGCAAAAAGCCAGCATGTGCGTCGTATACGTCGCTATGTATAATGCGTCAAATTCACAATACCGGCTTTGTATTCCTGTGGTTTAGTACCATTTTTATTTTTCGCCGTATTTTTCTTTTTTTCGCCCGCGCGCACTAGTTTGGGGGTCTTCAGAGGATGTCATCCATAAAATTAAGTCGGTGTGGCCTAAGTAACAACAAGGAAAAGGCAGCAGTAGAAGCTCTTGTACATGTGTTAACATCCGTGTCCATAATGTCACCAGGGTCCTTAATATCGCCACCTTGAGAAATAGTGTGCTTTAAGATATTTTTACTGCAACATACTTTTTGTATGCACTCCTGCACACCTCAAATGTACATACCTAGGGTATGTTGCAGTAAAAATATCTTTAAGCACACTTTTTCTCAAGGTGGTGATATTATGGACTATGGTGATATTATGGACACAGATGTTAAGTCCAAAGTTATGTGCAGCGTATTTAACACATTAAGAAGTTTTACCCACGAAGAATTCAATTTTATAGTCTCTAATATTCTATATAGTCGATCATGCAACTTTGTAATAACTCTGAGAAGGCTCCAGACGTCACCTTGTCCTGTGGCGGGTGTTTGTAGCCAAATTTCCGCGCTGATGCCTGCGAGTTCTTCATGGTGTTGATGTCATGAAAGTAAAACGACGTTCTCGTCCCGACATCCTCTTCGAATCCCTCTGTCATGGCGGCGTTCACTCTGGTGTTTTAAATGAGAAAAATTGTCATTTATTTGATACAGCAAGGACATTATACAGAAGGATACAGCAATAACTGTGGCAATGTTGTATTGTGTACATGTATACAGTGGTATACATTGATATTGAGGAAAGAAAAACATCATAATAACAATTAAATAATGATTAAACTTAAACTCCAACGCGGAATGAATTGGGACTCACCCAAATTTTTCTACCCTGAACAGAGACGGGGGGGCGACACAAGTTATCTGACCCGCTACTACGGTCACGTGTCTCTGACGTCACGTCACGTGCGTGAAGACGGGCCCATTCCGTGAACAAGGTTGATGGAATCAGGTGAAAATTTAGGTAAGTCCCAATTCATTTCCGTATTGGAGTTAAAGTTTAGTCTTTATTTCATAATGACTTGTACCAATACAGATGAACTTTCATGCTACATGTATATCATAACAACAACATATGACAAGACATTACCTCCAGACAAAGTCGTGTCCGTCTATCTCCTTCCCCTTGCCAGACCCCCTCAGGATCCCCCCGTTCCCGACAACAGCACACCGGATACAGCCGGCATGGTCAGGCGTCCAGCCGGGGAACATGTAGCGGTGGGCAGACGTGTTCAAGTGACGGAGACAGTTCTTGATATCTTCAGGGATAGAGCAAAACAAAACAACCATGTAGTTTCTGCAATATTTTCACATTAATGACTTCCAATGCAATTCCAGACCGCCAAAACTGGATATTCAATTGCAAATTCAATTTTATGGTCAATTTTAATGTGGTGATTTGACTCAACCCTTTCCCATAGTATACTGATATCTGTAATGCAAAAATGTGATGTTACTGATGTAAAGGGTTGCATGTTTTGTATCTTAGGCTTGTTCTTTGCTTTTATGGGTGGTACCTAAAATAATGACTCCTCACGAAGCTTGCTTTAGGGTTACTTCAAATGCTTCAAGTATGAAATGATGACGTAATTGTGATAATAAATGACAGTAAATGTCAATATCAGACAGATTTTGCCAAGAATTTTTTTGCCGCCCTGAAGTTGCACTGGATGTCTTTAAAGGTCTCCAGTTAAACCAATATTGTTGTGTAACTTACACAGAGCTAGAGATTTGTTTTTATTCCAACATGTAATCACCAGACGTGGTGACGACACACTCAAGTTTTTTGAACTTATATTAATGCCGCCACTAACACAGGGGACAAATACATGACAGGACAATACTCATTTACACCTGAGCTAAGTGAGGAAAGCCGTGTAAAGTGCCTTTCCCATGGGCACAAGATCGGTGGCATGTCAGGACTCGAACCCGAGACTCTAAGTTCCGAGTCGCGCACTCTGCCGCTACGCCACACGACCCCACAAGAGATATTTTGTGTTAGTTACCTGCGTAAGGTAAGTCTTTCCAGCCGTAGTTCATTTTGAACTGTGATAGCCTGGCGTACTCCTCAGGGTTGATGTGTTCGTTCCACATCAGTACGGGGATGTCAGGAATCAACTTTAATCCTTCTGGAACCTTCTCTGGGTTCTTCCGCATTGCACTGGGGCATTTCTGTGGGTAAAATGGGAATAAATCATAGATTATAGCTTTCAGATGCCTTCCTTTTTTGAGAAAACACTACATTGTGTCATGTCATGTGAGAAGTACACTTTAACCTGTATTTGTGTGCATGAGATTACATGGTTTGTATATTAAAGCACAAGGTTAGTTGAAGTTTGGGAGCAGTCTGAACATATTTAGTACACGTCTACCTTTCTATATGAATCAATTCGAATTTGAGTTAAATTTTAGTCAAATTTGACCCCCGAACACGCCCCAAACATTGATGGCCTGTCCCCCGAACACCAGCTAATCATGGCCGAAACTCCAGTTGACACCCAAATGTTTTAAACACTTTGAAACATTCGGTAGCAAATCACAGCCGACCTTGCTCCTAACCTTGCAAACTGGACCCTCTATGGACGGCCAACTCCTCTGGCCTGCTACAGTCTTTTGGGGACAATTACTACATTTATTCAGCCTACAAAAGAGTCTGGTGGAGACTAGTTAGGCAGGTCGTATTTGCCTGTGTGTGACAGGGGCTTACGACACAAGTGTTTTGTCGTCTCTGTACCTTGGAAGCTGCAGCATTTCTAAAATCCTCTAAGATGTATGAAAACTACAGCCGGTTACAAACACATGAGCAAATATCCGCCAGATTTCACGTGGTAATCCAGACTTCACATCAATTACCACCAAAAGGAAATTAGGAGACAAAGAGAATTTTAAAACTCGCAATTAATTCTTTGTAGGGGCCAACATTAAGCACATCAATTTCTTCAGTAAGTAAGGATTAACACAATCAGAGTTCCGTATCTTTAATAAAACTTGCCCAAATGTTTACGTGTAACAATTAATCGGGTCAGTTTGGGAAGAAGTTGATAACCTTTCTGACACAACTTTTCCCTTTAAAGAATTCCTTTGTAACGGAAGCGTTTAATTCTCCATTTGTTAACCACGGAGAGCTGACCAAGCAAACAGAAAAACGTGGATGTCCATAGAACTAGATCACTTGCGTGTCCTAATCTTCACGGACTTTTCAAAAACACGTTTCAGGCATTGCAGCTTATACTCTTTGTACAAAGTAAAAAAAAAGACGATAAAAAAGACGATAAAATTACTTTTAGATTAGCTCAAATTTGTAGATAAGTTACCACTGCGCCATCAACGACGATTTACTATGATTCGTCTAGATTCTGTCTAGTAATTCTACCAATACACATGATTGTATTCTATACCTGTTGTTTCATGCAGAACTTTGAGCCGTTTTAGACCGACTTATTCCGTTGAAGTGTCACTTAAAATAGTGTTTAACCAACTTTAGCAAGGTTTGAAGGCGCTCTCTCACGGCTAAACTACTCTCCAAGCAGAGGTGTTGGGTGAAAAAAAATCCAGTGCAAAAGAGAAACCCCGATAAAAAAGCATAAAAACACGCTAAAAATAACCTCAAACCCAAACCCAAATAGAGGTCGGAGATCTCATGTCTTCGTCAGAGGGACATTGTTATGAATAAATTAACGTTTTTTAATACTAGAAATCAATTTGGTCTAGAGTACAAAAGAATCTCTGTACTCCTTTTTTTTCTTTTTTTATTCTATAGAACACCCTGAAAGGGTTTGCCACAGATTGCACTTGCACTTGACTTTCCCCTCAACAACGGTAATCTGCCAACCAAAAATCATGGACGTCGAATAGTGCCTTGAAGAGTTATTCCCCTAATTCCGCAGTCACCCACAATACGGCGAGACAATTCCATAGTCTTTCTGACGAAGTCTAAAATACGGCTAAACATATGTTACGTTCCTATCTTCTGGGTTCGTCGTTCTGTACGCTTGAGGGCTAATGGCGACCTTTGCCATGTATTGTTTACTAACTGTGCACAACGTTCAATCGGCCGTGGCTCTACGTACTGCACTAGGTCAGCCTTCGTAATGATATATGACAGTCTAAGGCCAAACTTACACAGGGGAAAATTAAATGTCAATAGCTCCTGCGGGACACGATAATGTTACCTTGACCTTAAGTGTCCTACGGTCCATTATAGATGGTCAACCCACGTGTGGCTTTTTGGCCACTAATGCACTGTTTATTTCTGCTTAGGCCATGTTGATTTGATTATATGGATGACATCCACGCGCGCATGAATTTTCGGCCGTTTCCCCAAAAAACAAGAAGTTTTCAACCATACCGTAAATCGTACAAAGTAGCTGCAAAATGAGCAAAAATATACCGTAAGTTGCAAACAAATGTATAAAAACAATATCAATGTCGTATAATGCCAAAATCAAACGAAAAAAAAATACCGAAATGTAAAGAAATGAATTTGAAGAGTAGATTATTCGCCAAACCATACTCTGTGTCATTTGTTCAACCTTCATCACCACGTAGATTTCATGATGAGAGCAACTTTTTTTGTAAAAGGCGCATCAGTTTTGGGGTTCCCAGAGGATGTCATCCACATCAACATGGCCTTAATACAAAATCTATAATGACGAAAAGAAAACTACAACAATGTTAACCTCTCGAAATCCACTCAATGTAGAAAAAGTGAGACATGCACTTCGTCTACCACAGCTTTCAAAAAAGAAGTCAAACCCAAAAAGGATAGATTGTATTTTGAATACAATAGTCAATTCTTTTGAACAGAATAGTCACTTCTTGTAACACTTTATCAAAGACTTGAGACATCCCTTAGTATTTGAATGATTATGATATAGATATGTTAGGTTTTATTCGACATTAGGTCTTATTCAACACACTTATTTTACTGTTGTTACTCTCTTTATGTAGTTTGCCATATAATGTACCATGTACAATTGTCGTGCAATAAAGTTCTTCTTGTTTTCACATAATATTATATGTTGCAGTTAGCCTTCGGGCATGAATTTGCAAAATAAACATCTATAAAAGACAAGATAAGCACCAGTTACCATAACAGTAGGGCACAATTATCATACAAGATAATAACTATAAACGTACATAATTCATACGTTTTATGAGTCTGCACCACATATTCACTTACCGATTTTGTGTAGGTGTCGTCACTCAGAAACCATTTTGGGTCCCGCTTGGCTGGAGGCACTGTAGGCGGCAGTGGAGTTCCACTTTCCGCGGGTTTCGGCGTCGTTTCCGTCCGATTCTTTCCCGTGTCGACTATCAGGGGTTTATCCTTGCCTGTTTTGTTGTTGTTTACGTCCAACACGGTCTGATTTTCATTCGAGGACTGAGATTTTCCGCTGTCTGTTATGTTTACAGTCTGAGGTTGTTTGGTTGTGCGCTGGACACTTTGTTTGACCAGCTTCTTGGATGGGGTTGAAGCAACTTTCGCTTTAGAGTCATTCTCCGACGTTTCCGAACTTCTTCTTGCCTCCTCCGGTGTTGTCGTAGGGTTATGGCGATCGATTGTGTCCAAAACACCCTTAAAACGACTGACTTCGTACCGAGGCAGGTTGTTGTAAATACTGTATAACAGAAAATGGATCATTATTAGTCATTATGAATCAACATGTATGTTCCTTGCAATTTTTACAGTTCCCAGTAGCTACAAGTATCTATAATAATGAATGTGGTAATTTTCTCGTGTATTTTTCGACAGGTTTCTGTATCTGTATCACTATAGACAGTATAATCGCCCTTCGATGTAACACACCAGCTTCACAGACACGCGGCGCGGCGGCTGCTAGCTATATTACACCGGACGACTTGTTACACCTAACCTCTGCACATTTAACTGCATGCAGGAGTTATTTGAAGCTTTCAAGTGATGATGCCCCAACTGTACTTGGTGGCAACGAGTTCCACCCTGCGATAGTTCTTGGAAAATACGAGTTTTTGGACAACCCAATCCTTGGTTGTTAACTCCGATATTTGAAGGCATGACTGTTTCTTGTTCTTTCCTGGGCTGCAGCTGGTATTTAGTAGATACTTAGTGGTTGGTACGTCCACCAGTTTATTAGAATTCTTGTTGTATCAGGGGCCCAGAAGGGTACCTTTCTGTGTCTGTTATCTAGTAGAAGAAAGTAGATGTTTTCTCTACAGACCCCAAATACTGTATCGTACACTTCCATACCTTGATGCCCAGTGCGATGCGCCGCCCAGTTCAGCCGGACTCCTGCGTAGATAGGAAAACGACACGAAGCCGAGCGTGATGAACAGACACAGGAGGAACAGCCACTTGAACCGCCCCATCTTGACTATTGCACTCTTCAACAGCCGGGCCCAGATGTACTTGTATGCTGTGAGATTACAAGAGGAGGAAGTCAGACCAAAAATCGCCATCGTCACAATTATACCATATGATACCACATAATTAATTAAAACATCCTGGTTCCAAATCTAAATAGTCCTGCATTTCAACTACTGCAAATTCGCGTAGTTGTAGCACTCTAGCGCTGTACGTTAACTCAAGTGTTTCAAAACACAACTTTCTCGTCTTTTAAATGAGATGAAGACTTTCTTCAAACGATGCTACTTCATATTTAGAGATAACCTGTATCCTTCAGTGACATGATAACAGGACACAGTAGTGATGTTAACATTTACTTTAGAACCGCTAACAAATAAACACATCGATCCCCTGCATGTATCGCTGTTATCACAGACAGTGTTCTGTGACAGCTGCCTGTGCGTGGGTTGGCTAGGTATGGCCGTTCGAATTTGTTCTGTGTGTGCATGCCCAGTCATTACTGTGATGGCGTCGTAGTACGGTAACGATCGTCTACTGTGCACATGTTCCCCATAGCCTCATTTGCAGGCGTTCCGGGAGCGGTCGGCGGTTTTTAAAGTTGCATTATGTAATTACGTAACATTAGGACGATACAAAATGTAAATTTTCTGGTCATTTCTCTACAAAGTAAGTGAAATCAACCGTACACAATTGCAAATAAGTACCATTCAGGAAGAGGAGGTGCCAGAATATTACGCCTTATGAGTGTGTTTAAACACAGCTGTCAGCCATGTTTGTTTACATTCTGGTAGTTTGTGGTGGCACCACAAACTGAGTGCGCATCGTGTGGGCTGTTTTAGCACCAACCATAAATGTCAGATATGTGAGATAATTGCACAGATACGTTGAAAAGTGGAATTAAATTACAATCACACGTATATTTTTTAAACAAATTACTTCAATTTTCGGTGAAAAAAAGTTACATAATGCCCCTTTAAGGGGGGGAGGGCATTTACAAGTTGCACGGTTTTCTGATCAAACGTAGATCTCACGCATTGGAAGCTCTGGCCGCCAACGTAGAATGCCATCCCACGTAGCGTGGCATGCATGGGGTATTTCTTTTTTCCTCATCAACAAGAACGCAAAAAAATACACAGATAAAACCATTGTCCCCAACTTGTGTGCACGGGAAAAGATAAGTACCAAGTTTTTTTTTTTAAGTTTAAAGATGTTGTCCATTGCAATGATGATCGCAGTGACACCTGTCGCTATCACACGCTCTTAATTCAAACCAACACGTACTTAAACATCCTGGTTCTAATCCTAAATATGTGACTCACACCGGCACGTAACATGGATAGCTATTCAGTTAAGGCTAGATAAATCAATCAATAAATAACATGTGGCATTGTCAAACTGTAGTCACTTTATCTATTTCAAACCCTTTTGACACGGATTGTATGGTTGGACGCACCATCCAAACTTCTACATTTTAAGTGCTCTCACACAAACCCGTGCATACAACCGATATACTAGTTTGGCGTAGAAACATCATCATACTGGTGGGTTAACGTTAGTCGATAAAACAACCAGAATGGGAATTCGTACATGCACTTGCAGAAATGACGCGTTGTGTACACCCATCATCTAAAGCAGACATTCTACGTTAGACACATTGTAATGTAATTTCGTCACCTACCCGCCATTTTTATCTTAATATTTTACTACCATTTATGTCGTTATGATGTAGTAGTTAGACACAATGTAAACAGTCCATGTACTTCAGCAGTGGCTGCAAAGTGGAATCTGTGTATATGAAGCAAATAAACCATTATTATTATTATTATATTATTACATACTAGTATGCGGGTCAATGTTACAAAGCTCTTACTCAGTCCTGGCAAAGGGACGATCCTGGCAGTAATTCAGGCTTGTTGTTATACCCAAGTAGGGCGAGTGGCACTTGACCACTCAGGAGCTGCAAAGTTTAATTAAGCCGTTTGCCTTTCGGGGCATTGAGGGCCACTCATCCGTAAAACGAGATCAAATCTATTTGCTCGCCCAACTTTCACAAACAACGGAAGCGACAGACAGACATCACCATAGGCGTGTGCCAAAATACGTATACTGTACTAGCCTCTACCAGGCTTCGTGAAGCGACTGGAAAGAGTACAAAATTGGCCAAATAGACAGATGATATGCCAGGGGAGTTGGCCCGAGTTAAGAGAACAGTTTCCCCACTCCCCTGACGACTTGACCAATTTGTGCTCTTTCCATCCTCTTCCCGAAGCCTGGTAGAGGCTACAAAATACAAGTGTTTGTGCAGTCCTAATACTACATACTCCTAGCCTCCTTCGCAGACTTGTTGGGCGGCGTTATATTTTTTTCTGGTCCTCTCCGCAATTTGCGGATGTAGGACTCGGGAGCTATAATAGGTTTGGTAACCAGGCTAATAACTCGCGTCGCTCACAAAGAAAAATAATAATAATAACGCCCCCCAACAAGTCTGCGAAGGAGGCTACATCAATTTGAGAAGCGCGCTGTATGGCAAAATTTTCCTGAAATGATTTTCTCCTAACAGTGGAGTACCCTAACATGACTGATAGCCTTCTGCTAGCTTTATGCCCTTACGTACCCTGACCCTGTGTTCCATGATCCAACAAACACTGTGATTTTACGACTTCCACTTACTTTATATAGAGACGGCCGTATCTATGGACACAACCGGTGCCAATGGTCCAACTGCCATATAATCTGCCTTGCTGTTACCGCAAACACCTATCATAATTCATACTATATTTTACACACACACTGAGAAACAATAATTTTTATAAGACTTTCTGATCATTTTTGTAATAGCTTAAAGTTCACCGCCCCCCTCCTTTGGAAGAGAGCACTGGGGTCGTTTTAGGCAAACATAGCTCTTGTGAACGTCACGATTGCTCTGTGAACAAGTTAGGAAGTGCCGCGGCTTTACCGATTCCTTCACACAGAATTTGAAGCGTCGTCAACAGACTAGCCTCTACCAGGCTTCGAGAGACGGCTGGGAAGAGTAGAAATCGGCCAAATAGAGAGATAACATGCCAGGGGAGATTTTCTGCGGGGAGAAGGCATTTCGGTCGCGGCAAAATGTTTTCTCCCCGCAGACAAACTCACCCGGCACGTTATCTCTCTATTAGGCCGATTTCTATTCTTTCCAGCCGTCTCCCGAAGCCTGGTAGAGGCTACACCAGACTAATAGTACTGAAAGTACGGAATTCCTGCAAACAGTTTGTTGATCAACAAACCTAACCAGTACGTGGGAGACTATTGGTGTACAAAAGGCGCACATGTCCTACCGACGGACAGACGTTATGTAACTTTCTGACACTCTAATTCTAAACGTCACGCACACGGTTTGCCTACCTGTCTTTGCTCCAGGATGTGGACATATACCTTGGACACGTTTCTGTCCACCAGGCTTTCAAAACAAGACGACAAAAAAAAGCAGTCCAGTAGAACCAGGTAGCACAGTCAACCAGGTAGCACAAAGCTCTGCCCCCGTCTGCTTGTAAACCTGTATAACCCCTGATCATTTACGATCGGTACTGCTCTTTGTAAGTGCTCAGTGCGTCAGTAAGTATTTGTGCGCCGTGCCATTGGCAAACAGACCTTTGTATTGTTATCCGTGACCTAAGGAGGAAATCAAAGACCGGGCATCACTGGCCGGGTACCCGTACTCTTCAAGCAGAGGTTTGGATTTTGGCTTATTTTTGGCGTGTTTTAGACTTTTATCGTGGTTCTTTTTTTGCACTGGTATCTCTTTTTACGCCCCCCTCAAAGATCCCAGTGCAAAAATAAGCCCGATATAAAAAAAAGCCTTAAAACACACCAGAAATAAGCCAAAACCTAAATCTCTGCTTGGAGAGTTGGGTACGGGCCAAGAAAGTTAGTGCACAGGGCATTCTAGCAGTGTTTTCTTTGCGTTTAGTCGTGACTTCGAAAAAAACAGTATACAGCGCGTGACTCGCCACACACCGTGACACTTGTACAAACTGGACCATCCACAAGTTTGTGTCAACAACGTGTAACACAAATACAAACAGAGCATCTGTTGTGACCAACGCACGGTACAACATGTACGTCATTTATCGCAATACTGTACTGTACAAGAAGACGTCGGGAGGGAAAACCATAACACGTGTCACGTCTATAGGACTTGTGCCACAGAAAAATAAAAGTCAAAAGATAAGATAGAGAATAGAGGTCCAGTCTTGTTAGCTTTGGTACACACTCTCCAATCTAGATAGGGGAAGGGGATCTACTCTCCAAGCAGAGGTTGGTTTGGAACTGATTGTGACCTTTCTAGTATGCCCTTTTTTTCTGTCGCTATCTTCCCCCACCAACCTCTGCTTGGAGAGTAGCGGATCTTGGGGAGCGGACTAAATCTATTCACATGGCTGGAATCCTGGCTAATTATAGTAGAGTATACTATAGTATAGTGCGATTCCCCTTCCCACATCTGCTTGAACATTGATCAACACGTAATATACTAGCTTCACTGAGTATTCTGTAAGCACGACTAGATGTTTGAATGCCAAATATTCATTTATTCGTAATTACGTAATATTGAGACGTTATCGACGGCTTTGAAAATCGTTCGAAGCTCCGACAACAAAGAACAGAATGTCTGATAACTGAATCTACAGCATGTCAATTTAGCCTACATTTCATACAGTGCCCTAACGACAGCCGGCCTTGGCGATGTTTTCGTGGCTTCTTTGCCTACATACTATTGAGTGAGTGTGTTTAGCCTGTACATGGTACACTGAGAAGGCTATGGGATAAGTATAGAAGCCCGGCACAAATCGCCACGCTTACCTTGACGATATTTAACTGCTACAAAGCCTCCACATCGTGAGTTGACGCCTCGGTGCACAGTCGTCAGAGAAACTCCCTGCCAAGTGTCCAAAAATATACGCTCCCAGCGTTAATTGACCTTAATCTGAAAGTGCGTCGTGGGAAGAAGCTCTGGCAAGGCTAATGAGGGCCTATAGGCTCAGTGTAAACCGCCAGCCACACACACATATAGTCACATACATATATGGACGCAACAGAAAGAAGCCGGCGACTTGCCCAGGGCTTGCATCATCATACCCATCTGTTTAAACCCGAGCGGAGTTAAACTGGAGGTCAGAGCGCTGTTACTGTCCTTCTGACACGAGTAATGTACTGCCTAAGGGGGTCATGACCCGTAATAGACACGGCTCAATGCCCCTTTCAGTGAACACACTGACATGTTTAGCTAATGTCAACCAGACCTCTTCTGTGGTCTGAAAAAATGGCAGAAATCGGCCAAAACGATCCAAAATAGGGGGACTGCTATGCGTTTCTGTAGTCTAAAAACTCCTCTCGCAAAATATCCTCCCTATTTTGACATATTCCTACGATTTTTCAGGGCTGGGGTTTTGGCGGGAAATAATGTTAGGTGTGCCTGCGGTATCATGTTACCAAGCATGCATTTTTCTCTTTAAATTGTTTAGCCCACACTGGCTTTTCAAATTGTTTTCGTTCCGTACGCGACAACAACCAGACGCGGCATAGTTGGTACGACTATATTTTCTATTCCATGTATTCATAGCCGCCATTGTATTAAAGTAGGTTTATGGTTATGGCTATGTCAAGTTAGCCTCCATAGCAGGCTTATAGAACTGGGGGTTTGGTGGTCTTCGGCTGTTTTCTGATTAGCCGAGTTCTAAAAAAACGGGGGTAATTCAATCAGGCCGGCTATGTTGTCTATATGCAATCAGAAAATAGCACATAAAAGCTCCCGAAGACCATGAAGACCCCCACAACCCCCGGTTTTTGGCATGCTTTGGAGGCTAATGTCAAGTAAGAAGTGGCTGGTATGCGGCCCCAGATACGTCACTAATCACCAATCAAAAATATTACCATATCTCATTTCAAAACACAAAAGGCGGTCTCCGTGGACATTAATATTTTGAACCATGTTAGTTACCTCTATCATAATGCATGCTTAACGAGTCTTTTCACCCCAGGGTGTCGGTTACACACCAGACATACCTGTCAGACTACTTACCTGGGCAGCTGGCGACCACCTTGCGTCTCAAGCCGCCTACTTATCATATATCCTAAGTACATTTGTGTGTACTCTTATTCTACAACTACCCTTTTATGATAGAATGTATTGTTTCCTGTTTGTTCTCAGTATCGCTAGCCTTTCTTTAGCATGTTAACGCTATTAAACGCACCAACCCCGTTTCAGGGAAAAATGCACTTCCGCCATAACGCGAAACGCGGTGTTAGACACGCGATTCTGGCAGTCATGTAAAACACAAATATCACGCCTTCAAAACGCTCCTGGCGTCAGAATATCTGTTAGAACTATCAACAACACGTTCCCGTACCTTTAGAAAGCCATGGCCGTGTGCGAAGTGCGTTGCCGTGGTTACTATGGCGCTCACATCGATCTGTTTGTTGTCGGACCAGCACATCTACTGCGACATCTTCCGCGCCTCAGCGACTAGGTCAGGGGTCAAGCCGGGCCGCGCATGCGTAACATCACAAACACCTGCGGCTACCGTAGTTTTTCACCTAGCCTCCACCAGGCCTTTCTATGATCTTCTATGGGAGTATGGATTGTAGAATTCGGCAAAAAAGAGAGTAAATTGGTCAAGGGAGTCCGGCCGCGAGGAGGTAGTTTCTTTCCCAGTCAAACTACAAGGCGGCCAAACTCCCCTGGCAAATTCTCCTAAAAAGCCAGCGTAGTTAGTCTGGTAGAGACTAGTTTTCACCTATTCATACACAATGGACAAATTATGTCTCAATAATACTCGTATACGGTTAGACATTTCGTTTGTCCCAGATAGGACGGGATACAAGATAAACGTTACACGTCACATTTCTGGGCACCCCAAAACTGTTGCGAGCGTGCAAATGAACAAAAAAGTTGGGCAAAGATTTAAAAAAATACTGTAAATAATTTTTTCTATTCATTCTGAAATCTAAGTGAAATGTCAAAGCCTACAGTCACTAGTACTGGGCACCCGGGTGGCCGGTTCGTGATATACAATGTAACGTTACTACTAAATTACAAGAGTATACAGTGTGGTTTATTGCGGTTGCCTGGCGTTCGGTAATAAAGCTTTGATAACCTGCTCCTCCACCTCATCAGGCAAACTGTTGAAATCTCAAAGCACAGCCACTAGTACTTGGCTGGCGTTCACGATATACTAAGTACTAAACTAGAGAAGTAGCATTTGCAAAGCAAATGCATAATGTTTACCTTCGGACATGGTCTGCCCTGTTAATTTTTACTCAAACATATTCACATACATGTACTACTAGTATATGGTGACAGGAGCAGAGCAGACCATGAAGTTTGCAACATTATGTAACCCAACACCAGTCACCATGGTGGCAGACGTCAACAAATCATGTCATTGGCCAGGTCAGAGGTTAGTGTTTGGAGAAGAAGAAGAGGAAATTGAGTAAAAACAACATGTTTTCCTTCGGTAAACATAATTACAAAAGTAACGTTATAACCCGGCGTAAGGAAGGCAACAGTGTGTTTTTTCATTGCGGTTGTCTGGCGGTCGTAAGCGTTTGGTAGCCCGCAGGTACAAAACATCCGTATCGCAGGTTATCACAGCTCAGCTATGGCATAGAATAACATTACCCAGCACGAACTTAACCGGATTATATCGGTTTGGGGAAACAACGATTACATCATGAAGAGACGATTATTGGATTTAGTTCTACAAATATCCACTTAGACTTGTATTGCCGAAATGAAAAAACATAACTTAGGGTGCATTCTTGAGATAGCCGTGTATGTGGTCTGCAAAATACAGCTATCTATTTACAGAAACGGCTGTTTTATATCAACATTTAAAGTTTACCAGCCTTTTCTGGCTTAGTGAATGTAACTTTCTATGTCCACCCGATGTATGAAATGCCCGGGAAATTTGAAAGTCCGGTAAGATATAATAGGTCGTGGCTTATGACTCTTTATGGAATTATTATGTTACCAGAAGGAAAACATATTGTTTTGGCTCTCACTGTTTCTTCTTATTCCGTTCCAAACACTGACCTGGTCAATGACCTGAACCAGACCGTCTGTCACCATGGTAACTGGTGCTGGGTTACATAATGTTGCAATTCTATAGTAGGAGGGATTTAGACTCCTGACACCATACAGTGAATGTGTTTGAGTAAGAATTAACAGAGCAGACCATATGCGAAGGTAAACATTATGCATTTGCTTTGCAAATGTTACCTTTCTAGTTTCTTGGTTTGTCAACTGCAGTAAGAATACATATTGTCAACACATATCACCCATATCATCCTAGTCGAAACATGTTCTGAAGGATTCATGTGATTTAATCCATTTAGACGAGCTTCAAGACCGACAAAAGTATACCGTATCCGATAGTTCGTAGTGTCTAAATCCGACAATCATTGAAAATCAATCTGATGATAATTTGTTACGACGACGATGACACGAATGTTTTCCAACCATGCATGATCAGTTTATCGACTTAGTTTTCATATCTACGTGTGTATCGGTACCGTTGTGTTGGTTGTGTTTTGTTGCCCCTGTACAATGTCATAAGTCCTGACTTCTGCAGTTTGTCCCATAGTTCTATCTCCATCTGAAAATCGTGATTAACGTAAAACACGACCGCATGCCGGTAGTCCGTTTCGTAATAGTGATCGCTGTACTGTCTGTGATCGGCAGTGATGAAGCCATAGGCGTGCGTGACGTCACAGGTATGCAGGGCCGTCAACAACATGGCGGCGCCCGTAGTCGGACGGTAGATGTCTTCAAACCGGCCATAGCCACGTGAGGAGTTCAACCAACTGGAGATGAAGAGATGCAAATACGTTATAAAACACTATAATACTAGAGAAGTAACATTTGCAAAGCAGATGTATAATGTTTACCTTCGGACATGGTCTGCTCTGTTAATTTTTATTCAAACACATTCACATACATGTACTACATGTATATGGTGTCAGCCAAGAGTAGAGCAGACCATGAAATTGCAACATTATGTAACCCAACACCAGACGTCAACAAATCATGTCATTGGCCAGGTGAGAGGTTAGTGTTTGGAACAGAAGAGGAAGAAACTAAGTAAAAACAATATGTTTTCCTTCGGTAAACATAATAAAGTCCACTAGTCAAATGTCTTTTGAAGAACATAGCCTTGATTTTAGTTAACTGTTGCCAGGAAATTATATCTGACATTCAACATAAACTGAGGACATGACAAGTCTCTTAAGCTTTGACATGACAAGAAACGCAAAAACGCCAAAACACCACGATATAAAATCCACAAGTTAAAGTTCTGTTGGAAAAACATGACCTTGAACTATTTTAGCAAACTGTTGCCAGGAAATTCTAGCCATTAAAATGACCTTCAACATAAACTGAGGACATCCCAAGTCTCTTTATTACATGTATCGTCATATTACAGAAGACAAGAGAATAACAAAAGAAGAAAGAGTACGAAAAACAATATTTCACTCCATACTGTAGTATGGAGTGAAATAATAAAACTTACTGGTACTTGAGATATCTCATGAAGTCAGGGTGGAGCATCCGGAACTTCGTATTTGCAGGTTTTTTACCGTACTGAGACGGGGGCCTGGATTTATTTGGAAAAAAAATAGTACAACACCTATGGGCATGATATATGTACATCGCCATAACCAAGGAATAGAACAAAAATATTAAACAGATATTTCATTTGTTTTATACTTTGGAACCATAGTTAAGCAGGCACAAAGAAATAAATGTCAAACTAGAAAGGTAGCATTTGTAAAGCAAATGCATGATGTTTACCTTCGCATATGGTCTGCTCTGTATAAAAACATGGTGACAGGAGTCTAAATCCCTCCTGCTATAAAATTGCTACATGACGTAACCCAACACTAGATACCATGTGGTACAGGTCATTGACATTTTTTTATTTTTGGCGAAGAAAAGGAAATAGAGCAAAAACACTATGTTTTCCTTGGGCAAAAAAAATGAAGACACGCCGAATAGTTTGTCCTAAGCTCATCGTCTGAATACAATGTGGATTGTGATATCATAGACAGATGCAATCTTAAAAGTTATGTAATTTTTCCTCAGTTTCTTTCTCTTCTCCAAACAAGTAAGATCAATGACCTGAACCAGACGTCTCTCACCGTGGTAACTGGTGTTGGGTTACATAATGTTACAAGTGACATGCAGAACTGAGTTCAAGAGGGGCTGCATGGTCACCATATATATGAATGTGTTTGAGTAAAGAATAAACAAAGCTTGTTATCATATTATTAAAGCCGGGCCATGTGAAGGTAAACATAATGCATTTGCTTTGCAAATGTTGTGGCGTCGGCGGCGCAACGGTTAGAGCGTTGGACTCGGAACCGAGAGGTCCCGGGTTCGATACTCACCGTGGCCCGACGTTGCTCCCTTGGGAAAGGCACTCTACACGACTTCCCCACCTGTACGGTGGAGTGACGCCCACCGAGCCTCTTAGGCTAATCTGTCTGTCAAGGTGCCAAAAACACCTTACGGATTTGGTGCGCCGATGTGACAACATCTCATATTGGCCACTGAGAACCGTTAATTTTTTTTTTTTGCAAATGTTACCTTTCTAGTTGAGCATTGTAGCCATTGTAGCATTGTAGTCAATAATACTGATAACATTTTCCTGAGTGCAGTTATAACAGGTGTGAATCTATGATCAAGTAGTTTGGGTTTATCATCATCACATACGTATCGCTCTTGTCTTTTCCAGTCTTCACTGGCTTCCAACTCATGGCGGCGTCATAGTAAAAGTAGTCTCTCATGTCAGGGGCGGATAGAATGTTGGCATACACCGTTTCCTGGAGTAGTGAGAAATTATAACTTCATAAATGTGTAGAACTTTAAGTCATTTTCGACGTTTAAGAGTCGAGATACGATCAAAATTATAACCAGTCAAAGGACTTGGTCACAGTAGAGAGTTGCGTCTATATATCGTCGATTTACTAGTATTGTATCCCTATCCGTGCCTATCTAGGTGTACTTGTATATCTGAATAGGTTGTAGGGTTAGGGATAGGCACGGTTTTGGATAGTCTCCGCGTATACAAGAATGTACACTTACCCCAGGCATGGTTTTGGACTATCCAGAACCGTGCTTGAGAAGGGGTCTGGATTCAATGAGATCTTTATTGCAGATTCGGAGGACTCATGTCTTCGTTAGATGTTTTGTGTGCGATATGATTGTGTGTATGTGTATATATTTTAAGTTAAATTGTTGTTGTTTATTTGCAGTTTGCACTAAGAGGACATCAATATGCAATAACAATTGCTATAGACGCAGTAAATGGGAAAATAATCTAAAAGGGACCAACTCAAAGTGGTCAGAATAGTTCTTCATGCTGAGGTCACAATTCCAAACCGGGGCCCGGCCGGGCAGCTTTCGGGAACGAAAAGTATAAAGTAAAAGACAACAAAACACAAAAAATGAAAGCTAAAAAAAATAAAATTTGTCTATGTTCATGATATGAAATGTCTATGTTTCGTTCGTACAAACAGCCCGGCCGGGCCCCGGTTTGAAAATGTGACCTCAGCATCGATAATCCTCGTACTATAAGCTGCATCTGTTCTTATGTTTAAAGAAACTTAGAAACGAGTTAAGAAACGAGAAGAAGCAGACCTGTACATATGTAGTTTTACTATAGATATATTTTAGTCTACCATCGCTATTTACCATGACCTGTACTTAGTTCGCAATGAGCAAAAATGTACAATAAAGGTATTTCGTTATACAGAGGTGGGGTCTAGTACAGGTTGTCTGGGCTCTAGTCGTCACCTCGTCTTGTGGCGGGTGCCTGTACCCGTACACTCGCCCTGTTGCCTGCGAGTTCCTCATAGTGTTGACGTCATGGAAGTAAAACGATGTTCTCGTCCCGACATCCTCTTCGAATCCTTCAATCATTGCGGCGTTCACTCTGGTGTTTTCAATGAGAAAAGTTTTTTGTCATATTTTCTATTCATTTATTTATTTCATCTTAAAACGGCTGGGTAGCCCATTAAGATTGTCCAAATGAAAGCTTGTTCAGCTTGATGACAACGAAATTTATTGTATATTCACACCCTACATGTACATGGGCCAAATTCACTAGGTTAGATAACTGGAGTATAACTATAAAGGTAGGAGGAAGAATTTCTAGTGTACTGTATACGTCTATATCTGCATATATATAGGTCTCTTCTCTCTTAGATATGCGTAGACAAATTTTCAGTTATATTGTAGATTCTAGATAACATAATATACTTGAACAATTCATCCTTTGTTAAGTGCTCATATTTATGTTCTAATTGTAGGGAACTAACAAGAGATTTACACATATCTGTGTATATATAGTGAGCATTCTAAAACAAAATGTGTTTTATCTTCTACAGAGTTATCGTTACAGAACGTACAAATTATATCATTGCATAGAAGAAGCACTTAGAACGCCGTGAATAAATGTGCGTGGCAAAAGGGATTTGTATAGTAGCGCTTTGGGGCTACGAAAACGTCAAAATACCAGGATTTTTTATTGACACAACAAAAAGTACAGAGACTTTTGTATGGTCTTCTACAACTAAAGATCTAACAAGGCTAAATACATGTGTGGATAACGTCATCTTACGTACAGAATATATGTATGCGGTAACAATAAAGTTTTGACTATTCTCTAACATGTGGTCTCTAAGATCGAAACAGTCTTCAATGTATTTAAAGATATGACAACACATTACCTCCAGACAAAGTCATGTCCGTCTATCTCCTTCCCCTTGCCAGACCCCCTCAGGATCCCCCCGTTCCCGACAACAGCACACCGGATACAGCCGGCATGGTCAGGCGTCCAGCCGGGGAACATGTAGCGGTGGGCAGACGTGTTCAAGTGGCGGAGACAGTTCTTGATATCTGGTAACGGTGCAGAACATTCATAACAGTTAAAAATTTATCAAAAACGAGCTGTATGAAGCTCTTTGAAGATTGCTCATGTAATTAATTTCAACGTTAATTGTTTTTTTCATTCCCGTTCAACGAAGATCTTACTTTGTTGGATAGACGAGAAAACATTCTACCAGAAATGATTATGCAGGTCCTTTATGTATTCCTAAGATTTGGCCATATTCACGTACATGGTCTTGTGTGAACGAAGCTAATCAAAAGAATTTTTAAAATGTTTTAAAAAAGCAACCTCATTCCTTGTGTGACATGTAGTAAAATTGTAAGTAATTGTAATTTAGCGTCTCTGTCAAGCGTAATTCTTTACATCTAAGGCCACACAGACTTAATTTTATGGATGACATCCTCTGAAGACACCCAAACTAGTGCGCGCGGGCGAATAAAAGAAAGTTCCGGTAAAAAAAATGCAGCTAAACTACAGGAGTACATAACGACTTTTACGACAAGCCGGCACATGCCGGCCTTTTGCGCAATTATAAGTCGACACTGTACTGAGACAGTTCCGTGGAGTTTCGGCAGCCTGGGTGCCATCCTCAGTAGTTACCACCGGTTCCCTATTGTCAGTGGCTACCATGGACTACGGAGGATGGTACCCAGGCCAGAGCCTTAAGGGAGGTGATTGTTTTTAGGACAGGCAAAAATCAATGCGCGCGAAGATGTCATCCAGAGAATTAATTTGGTGTGGCCTAAGTACTAGTTTATAACGTCTTCGGCCCCAGTAAGTTACACAGATTCTTGTGCATGTCGCCATCTTGTTGTTGTGATTTTTTACTTAAGTAGTTACCTTGATAATCTATGCCTTTCCAGCCGTAGCACATATGGAACTGCCGAAGCCTGGCGTACTCCTCAGGGTTGATGTGTTCGTTCCACATCAGAACGGGGATGTCTGGAATAAACTTTCGTCCGTTAGGAACCTTCTCCGGGTTCTCACGGATTGCACTGGGGCATTTCTGTGTGAGGAACAGGCAAGTGTATACAATACCGAAAATCCTGTCATCAGGTTGGTGCAACATAAAATATTGGGATTTTCTTTTACACAACCAGTAGTATCACCTGCTTACGTTTCGATGTCTATCGGGCACCTTCTTCAGAGTTTCTGACTGGAGTACTGCTTCAGACAAATCCGGTAGATCAAGGAAGAGGTCTGGATAACCGGGACGAGGGGGATACAATCTTAGCCACGTTTGGAATTGTGTTCTTGTCGCAAAAGCGCCACCTACATCGGCTACGTATACTAGCGGTGAGAAGCAGTACTTCAGTCAGAAGCTCTGAGGAAGGTGTCTTATAGACATCGCAACTCAAGCAGATGAGGTGTACTACTGGTTGTGTAAACGTCCATGCAATACAATAATTCATTTGCAATGCCCGAGGGCTTGTTGTATTGTAACATGAAACAATACAAAGAAAGGGTATACAGATACTGGTAGTGCAAGCTTACAATGGTGACAGGTGGAACAGGTGACTATTTTAAAAACTGTTACGGGATACGCAATCTAGGCTTTTTGGGTTTGACATATTTTTTTGGAGGCAGTGGGTGACAAAGGTAATCTATTGTCCCAAACAAAAAGAACTGCTTTGACAGAAGAGACCGTTGTGGATATTGCTTGGTTTTCTTTTGTTTTCTTTTTAATGCCCACGATCATGATAATGATCATGCTGGCATACTCATTTTCACCTGAGTGAAGTGAGAAAAGTCGTGTAAGTGCCTTTTCCAAGGATACAAGGTTGGTGACTTGGCAGGATTCGAAACCGGGACCTCTTGGTTCTGAGCCGAATGTTCTACCGTTGCGCCATAGGACCCCACACGACGGGGTGCCATTAAGTCATGTGGCACCCCATTTTGCTTTTCATCATATATCCCCCAACAAAAATAACGGTCTGAATCCGGGAATACATGAATGCGGAATAATTACAGGATAATGCTTCAAAGAGGAAAAAAAATCGATGCTATCAATGAAAACATAGCTTGCTATCAGCAAAGCAGTTGCTTTAAATAGCTAACGTGGGTTTATTTTATCTGCCACCACCTCTGTCACGAAGAATGTTTTGGTTCTTTCTGGATTATTTATCTCGTTTTCCAGAAGGTAAAAAATGTTTTTGAAAAATTGTCAGAACATATGTACTCACAGAAACGGACTCGGTCGTTCATTTATAAGTTGTAACTTAGAGATTACCGATTTTGTGTAGGTGTCGTCGCTCAGAAACCATTTTGGGTCCCGCTGGGCTGGAGGCACTGTAGGCGGCGGTGGAGTTCCACTTTCCGCGGGTTTCGGCGTCGTCTCCGTCCTGTTCTTTCCCGTGTCAACTATCAGGGTTTCATTCGGGTCTGTTTTGTTGTTGTTTATGTCCATCACGGTCTGATTTTCATTCGAGGATTGAGATTTTCCGCTCTCTGTTATGTGTACAGTATGAGGTTGTTTGGTTGTGCGCTGAACAGTCTCTTTAACCAGTTCCTTGGATGGGGTTGATATCTTCGCTTTAGAGTCATTCTCCGACGTTTCTGACGTTGTTCTTCTTCCCTCCCCCGGTGCGGTTGTGGTGTTATGACGATCGACTGTGTCCAAAACACCCTTAAAACGTCTCACTTCGTACCGAGGCAGGTTGTTGTAAATACTGTGACAGAAAATCAATCGTGAGGTCAAATGGAGGTTTATGTCAATTTCTTACCATGTTACTCTTACTCTAGGAGTCAGACTAGTATCGGGCCGTTAGCCGACTTCCTTCGGTAGCCAAGAGCACTACGCCCGCCGATCTAAATTACCGCTACGGGGGAGGTGAGCCCGAGGAGAGTTGGCCGACCCTAGTATCAACCCTACCACGGATACCTCACACTTCCATACCTTGATGCCCAGTAAGTTGCGCTGCCCAGTTCAGCCGGACTCCTGCGTAGATAGGAAAACGACACGAAGCCGAGCGTGCTGAACAGACACAGGAGGAACAGCCACTTGAACCGCCCCATCTGTGCCGAGGAAACCATACTGCACTTCACAACAGCCGGTACCGGTCCAGAGTTCTATTGTCCTTGTAATAATACTAGTAGTACGCTGCAATAAGAGAGACCTATACGTCATTGTTATGATAAAAAAAATGGGATGACATCAAGTGTCGATCAACTCTTTCCTGGGAAAGTAAACTAAATTTCTCAAGTTTTTTTTTCTTAATTCTTTCGTTCACATAGGATGGACGTTCTACTCAGGTGAACTGTGCCCTTAACTGACCTACATACAAATGTAGAAGGATACACGTGTATACGTTGTCAGTGTTCAAATCGATATTCAAACCAGAGATCCTAATACATACAACGTGGTACCCCTTGTTGAAATACATGTATATGGATATAAAATACCTTAAAAGAGCGTATGAAGGTTTAGGTTTTAGACCAAGGCTTGATGTTTATTTATTCATGTATTTAAATTGCCAACACTGCAATACAGTGGAAGCCCTGGCAGCTGAGCTGATGTCGGGACCCACATTATGAAATACATACATACATAAACATACACACATCTGCATCATAACACAATAAAGTCACAAATCACAGAAATCTCTTATACTTACAATCCATAACCTAGGCTAATGACACTATAAAAATGTTGATGTTTTTATTATTATTAAAGTATCAGTGTAGATTATAAGGTGACTGATGACTTACCTTAGACATGTAGGTATGAACTGACGAACGCTGAACTAGTACTACTCCCGGACCTATGAGCGGGTGTTCTGAAGAACCGATTGCTTTGTGGACGCGTTGTTTTCTGTCACGCTTCCAACAGCTGGCTTTATTAGGTAATCATAGCTCCCTGTAGCAGCTGCAATTTTTTGCCTTGAGGCCCTTTTCCTACTAGGATAGAATTGTTGAACTGTCCCGTAAGAAGTCTGAACTGCTACAAACGGAGCTTAAAATTCTACGGCCCCCAACTGTGGAATAACCTGTCACTGAATCAATGTAAGACTTAGTTTGGGGCTGGTAAAATTCAAGCACATGTTCCAAAATTCATTCAGAAAAATGTCATGATAGTACGGAGAGCCTGTGTGAGATTTTTGTTACGTAATTCTTTATCGTGTGTGATTTCGTAATATTGTATATTGTTATTCGTGCTTTGTATACCCAGCATTGCCTGAAAAAAAACAGGTTGTCATGTAACTAAGTGTAACTGATGGTGAAATAAATAAACTGAAGCTGGTTGCCCTGTTCGAAACCGGATCAAAGCTAATCTTTCCGGCTCGATCCGGACAGTTGTGTCCTAGTGGGAAAAGGGCCAGTTCTGGTCATGTCCAGTTACTGTACTAGTGACGTCACCTAACAACTGTCTCATGTGTGTTTACTAGTCTCAAACCTTGCTGTTTTGTGTTAAGATAAAACTTAAGCCTACCTATAAAATACTACAATTATATACATTCCTATGCAGATTGTTTTGGATGCACCTTGCACCTCATCCACCTCAAATACAAACTTGCCATCATGCACGAGAAATTGTACCTCAAGTTTGCTGGATCCCCGATGGTCTCTGAACCGATAGACGTTTATGACACATTTGCCTATTTTCGGCATGTTGACCTCCGTCAGAGAGGGTAACAAAATTTTTCCAAAATCAGACGAAAATCATTGTGCGCGCTGATGTCATCCATAAAAATTACTTGCTGTGGCCTAATAGTGAGCCAGTATATCGGTGATTATGTTACTACTTTCCATGTAGTGTCTAACCTACAGTTGCTCAAGCTCGCTCGAACTCAGTGTCGAACTCAGGCTTAGAATAGTCCACTCGACAACGGTCCCTGTCAAGGATTCTTGTAATTGATAGTTTGTGACACTTTCCCGGAACTTGGAAATTTATGGATGTTTCTTTTGGGTCTCCTGAATCCACCGACACACGGTAGATACTGCGGTTTACACGCCTACGTTCAGACAAGTTAACCTACATGCATGTTCCAACAACCCTTGCCCTACCTGTACGTATTTTCCAACTGGTGAGGCCATGTGACTTGAGGAGGAGACAGCGAAGAGGAAAGGTGGGATGAACTGGACAGGACGTGTTGGGGCCCGCAAAGTCCGTGATTTCGGAAAATTGTAGAAAGGCGATTGCCTAACTATGTTCAAGGCAGTTCGTCAGAAAGCGCCACCTTACTGGTTGTGTGTAATGTGCAAGTGGATGTCTCCGCCCGTATTAAAAGTACCAACGCGTACCAGCAGATCTTTCGGTTGGGTGGCAAAAGACCGTATCCATTGGCCATCCTGGACACTCCTCTGGCCAATGGATACTGTCTTGCCACCGAAAGATCTGCTTGGAGATTATACCAGCTCAACTGGGACCCTCACCTGCTGTACACACCACAAGCAACCGCGCAGTCTTTTCGGGGCAACCGTGCAGTCTTTTAGGGGCAACCGTTCAGTCTTTTAGGGGCAACCGTTCAGTCTTTTAGGGGCAACCGTTCAGTCTTTTAGGGGCAACCGCGCAGTCTTTTAGGGGCAACCGTTCAGTCTTTTATGGGCAACCGTTCAGTCTTTTAGGGGCAACCGTGCAGTCTTTTAGGAGCAACCGTGCAGTCTTTTAGGGGCAACTGTGCAGTCTTTTAGGGGCAACCGTGCAGTCTTTTAGGGACAACAATGGTTGTGTGAATATCACTTAATTTTAATGATCCTCCACTTTATCTGAGATAGTTCTTACGAACTACTGTATTTGTATGATGGAGAGTGTTGCATGATTCAACTTGGCTTAGATCAGGCTCTGTTTCACGAAGGAGGTTTTCAATCTTCAGACTGAATACATAGAGACAAAATTAATGACCTCATAATGGTACATAACACTGAAACTAGAGAACTTGACACATTATGCAATAATGGTGCTTCATGATAATTGTACATGATTCTGTCACATTGAATAGAAATATACATCCATTCATCATTGTCAAAATAAATGTACAGCTTGGAAATGTCTCATTCAAGTATTTCAGGCACATTTCTCTCAATCTGTAGCTGTCCAAGGTCACCAGGGTCATTCCCTTCCAACTGTTGCTGTCCAAGGTCACCAGGATCATTCCCTTCCAACTGTTGCTGTCCAAGGTCACCAGAGACATTCCCTTCCAACTGTAGCTATCCAACTCCAAGGTCACCAGGCTCATGTCCCTCCAACTGTAGCTATCCAAGGTCACCTTGCACGATTCCTGCCATGTCGATGTAAGCATGATCACCTGCCCTGATGACAACGTTACCAGTCCCGGACACGAATTCGAACGTCTGTTGGACCGTGTTTCCAACAGCTCCTCGCTCCTCTTCATCGTCGTCTCTTCCGCCGTACAGGAGGTCATTGACGTCTTCTGCGAAGCCGAGGATGTCGTGATAGGCGAAACCGTCTTTGGCCTTGTTGATCTGATCCATGCTGTAGGAGTAGACTTCTTTACTGTGTTCCCTCAGTGCGCGAGCGCTGAGCACCCTCTTCTCAGTATTGGTGCCTGGACTGCTTTCGTCGAGCACGTTGATGAGGCTTGTCTCTATCGTCTCGAGCATCTGCCGGCAGCTCGGCTTGTCACCCTGCTCGCTTCGCACGCAGATGTTGACCGCACGGCCGTCAGGGGAAAGCTTGATGAGACCTTCCACGTTGATATCGAAACACTTGGCTCCGTCTCTCCACAGCAGTGGGCGGTTCTTCAGTTCCCTCATCAGGCGGGTCTGCACACGGGGGAAGAACGCGGAGGAGAACATGTCGGTGGTATTGGCACACTGGACTTGCTTGCCGAAGTAGACGGTCTTGGCGGGATTTGCAGTTGGCTGCCACTTTTCTGGAGGCATGGTCTGTGTCAGCAGCCCGGGGATGATGAACTCCTGTCCGTCAAAGGAGTGGCAGAGCTGGAACTCTTGCAGCAGGGTGATCAGGAGATTGACATCGGCGACATCTTGGAACACCTTCTCGATCTCCTCTTTCGTGACGACGTCGTCGACGGTTCTTAGATGTTGGATGGGGAAGTTTTCTGGAGCCATCACTTTGCCGAAGACATCTGTGCAGAGCCAGTTGGGTTTCAGGACAATGATGGGATCAGCATTTGGTGTGGGGACGAACAAGATCTGGAACAATATACAAATAAATGCTTGGGTGATATGAGCTTTAAGATTTTTAAATCAATTTATGAGTATTACAAAATGTTGTCTGCTTCAATTTTCTTTAGTACATGAATTTGATAGTAAAGAACTTTGCTATATGTCATCTGATGAACTGGACGATACTTAACCTCACAGTGTGGAAATAGTAGCAGGGAGAGTATAAGATTGGTTGATAGCTGACCAACCACAATACTGATGCACTTAAAAGTACGGATTGCAGGCTGATGGCGATCGCTTATGTGCATACTAGCGAGGATGTAATAGCAGAAAGCAAATTGCAAACAATATTCAGTGAGCTATGTTGATGTTTACCTCTCCGAGGTGATTCAAGTACTGTGAAGACGTCTTCAGGAAATCTTCATCGATCAAGCGGTCGATCTCCTTCGCCGCCTCCTTATACTCTGCCCATTGCAAGACAGGACACTTCGGGCTGCATTTCGTCTCGGCCCAGTTCGGTAGGCACTTAACAATCTCAGCACAAAGCATAGGCAGGTCTCGTTGATCCTACAAAATGAAATACAACAGGGCTGTGGCTGCCGATGGGTGATTTTAAAATAGATGATTTGCTATGAATTCGGGGTATCAAATTGAAATACATCTGATCTTTTGCAACAAGTGTTGCACTACATTGATATCTTTAGACATGTACACAGAGTCCATCCAACTAAAGCGACGGTCACAACCCGCCGTACGTGCTTCTGCGTGCTGTCTACGTGCAAAAACGTGGGTAAACGTAGGGCATCGGTGCGTGGTGAGTACCACCTCCGTACGGAATCCTACGGATTTGGGAGGACGCAGACACGCCGTAGAACTTTAAGTGCATGTAAAACTTTTTCTACGTGCGGTCTGCGGATTCACCACCCGTGCGTGCGAGTACGAGTACGAGCGATGTGCGTGCCCCGTGCGTGCCGTGCGGAAGAAGCACGCGTGAGTACGGCCTCCTTGCGGTAAAGTTGCAATCGCACGGAGATACGATGCATGCAACCGCTCACGGCCAGACTTGGCGTGCAGACCACACTCTTACACTTTGTCCAACCGTGCGAGTGACGTGCGTAGACGCCACTCCTTCCCCACGTTTTCAGAAAAAACGTAGCAGACGTAGCCTCCCAAAAAACGTACGGAGAAAAAGCACGTACGGCGGGTTGTGACCGTCGCTTTAGGTAAATATAAAAGGCACACAATGAGGTTATTGACAGAAAATGTAATTCTATTGCCAGATGTTGCAGATGGAATTTCGAAATTTAAAGACTAGCACTGTTGCAGTAGGACAACTCACAGCCAGAAGCTTGGTCTTCAGTCTTGCCAGAAGGTCTTTAAGACGCCACATGTCAGTTTGACGGGTTACCCTGCAGTCAAGGAGGAACACTTCATCTGAGATGTTTAGATGACCCTTGAACTCTGACGTCATCAGCTCAAGGATGGAAGATGCTTTTTGATGTCCTGATGGCATAAAACAACGACATATACCACGTATGTAAATGGGTAGCCGAGATCTTTTGGGAGGGCATAGTGGCTTAAAAATCTCGTCTATGAATACCCTTCAGCTGTTCTGTAGACAGTCTTACATGTAGTAGTACAGTGAGTACATGACAGGTATTGCAATGTAACAGAACAAACCTGTATCAGTCTGGTCAGCATGACTG